CCTCATTTCAACCTAACATTGAACCTGAACTAAGAGGGTGCTAGCTATAGACCTGTGCCTAAAACAATGTTAATTAGTTCTATAGAGCTGGGGTGCTAATCACTGTAAGCCAACAGTGTGGGAAACATACTGGAATGGGATCAAGCCAATAGCATTAGAAAAAGCTGCCCCAATGCCTCAGGGGTTGTAGCCAGCCTCACTCTGAGAGGGTGAGTTTGAATCTCACTCTATACAGAATGGTGATCAGAATAGAATTCAATAACTTACTAACTACTCAAACCATCAGTTGGGAGGCTGAAGTTTTTTTTAATAGTTTATTTTTAAGTAACAAGATTTTTAAAAAATTAGTCTATCCTTCCCTCTCCCCCCCAACCCAATTGAACAAATTAAAAAAAAAAAACCTCAAACCCAAAACAAATCCCTCAATACATGGCTAACAAATTCCTACATTAACCCTGCCTGAAAAATGTGCATCTCTTTCTGCATTTTAAATTCATCACCTCTGTCAGGAAGTAAGTGGCATGTCTTATTTTCATTCTTTTGGATTCATTTACTATCATTGTATTGATCCGAATTCTAAAGTCTTCTAAAGTTGTTTATCTCTGTAATGTTATCATTGTTATCAATGTTATAATGTTATCAATGACAATGTTGTCATTGGATAAATCATTCACTTAGTTCTGTTCACTATGTTCTGTGCTACAGTTCAGTTTCCTTTGAATTTGTCCATCACATTATTTCTTGTGACATGATAATATTCCATTCCATTTATATACCACAATTTGTTTAGTCATTCCCCAGGGGCAGGTTATAATTTCCCATTTTGGGCCCCCACAAAAAGCATTGTTGTAAGTATTTTTGTGCCTACAGATCTGTTTCCTTTCTTTGATTTCTTTAGGCATAGGCCAAGTAGTGGTATAGCTGAGGCAAAAGGTATGCACAATTTGGTAATTTTTGGACATGGTTCCAAATTGCCTTACAGAATGGCTGAACCTCCCGCAGCTGGGAGGCTAGTGTCCAAGCTTCGTGGGGGCATGAAAGGTCCTTATTAGTCATTTTACATTCCACCTCCATTGAGCACGCTCAGATCAAAGGACAAGCAGGCTCTACTTTTTAGTGACCTTTCTTTGTCCCCCCAGTACTTACTCTTTCTACCCCTATAGCTGCTGCAATTGTGACACCTTCAGAAGGCCCTGCCCTCAATGCCACCTCCCTACAGACACTTCTTAGCCTTTCGTGGTTGCGCGCACAAACACACACACACACACACACACACACACACACACACACACACACACACACACACACACACACACACACACACACAGAGGAGATATCCATCTGAAGCACCTGCTTGCCTAGGTTTACAACCAGGTTAGGGTAAGGTCAAGCGTATTCGGGACCCAGTTTAACTGCTTATGAGAACCAATTTTTACAATGTCAGTGTGAGTATTTATACATCAGAAATCACTAGTTACTGCATCTAGGTGGCACAAAGGCAGCTAGGTGGCGCCATAGTGCATAGAGTGCTGGGACTAGAGTCCAGAAAACTCATCTTCCTGAGTTCAAATCTGGTCTCAGACACTTACTAGCTATGTGACCCTGAGCAAGTTGCTTAATCCTGTTTGCCTCAGTTTCCTCATCTGTAAAATGAGCTGGAGAAGGAAATGGCAAACCACCCCAGCATCTCTGCAGAGAAAACTTCAAATGGGGTCATGAAGAGTCAGACACAACTGAACAACAACAAATTAGGACTTTATTTATTGTTTTTTTTTTATTGTGACTTAAGAAAATGTTAATAATGCAGTTTAAACTTTAAAATGTGTACATACATTTTCTTTTTTCCCCAGAGAGAGCCAGGTTGTTGAACATTTGCCAGCATACCCCCGTATTGCTCTATAAACAGTGCTTGAACTCAGCAGGGGTCATCTCCAGACTACTGTAGAATTATGATAATAACAACAAGGGGGGCAGCTAGGTGGCACAGTGGATAGAGCACAGGCTGTGGAGTCAGGAAGGCCTGAGTTCAAATTCGACCTCAGACCCTTGATCACTTGATACTTACTAGCTATGTAACTCTGGGCAAGTCACTTAACCCCAACTGCCTCACCAAAACAAAACACAACAACAACAATAATAATGGTAACAAGCATTTATGTAGCACTTTAAGGTTTTTAAGTGCTTTACATCCATAACCGAATTCCCTTGGGGAAAGTCAACCATCACTGAAGCCTATGGACAACTCAAGATAGTCATACTCATGCTTTGAAACTGGAAGGAAGAGGCCTAGCTGAGGGGCATGGTGCCCCTTTGGCATATCCATGTGGTTTGGACTCAGGAGTTAATTAGAGACTCAAGTCTTCCATGAGTGATGTATCTCTGGAACCTTCTCCTCCTTCCTCTGGCTTCAATATGGTTGTCAGGAATGGTGACTTGAGTATGTTTCAAAGGTGGAGGGGTGGAAAGGGTGAGTTTCTTGCCAAGGACTTCATATTTTTTAGCAGCATGGCACAATGAAAAGAGCACTGGATCTGGTTTTAAGTAACATCTCTGATGCTTATTTCCTGTGTAACCTTCAGAAAAGTCTCTTAACCTCCCTGGGCCCCAGTTATCTCATCTGTAAAGTGAAGAATATGGATTAGTTAACCTCCAAGGTTCCAGATCTATGATACTTGAGCAATGCTTACAGATTCTTTCTGACAGTATAATTTTCTTTTCTTGTGTTTAAATTAATTTTTTTCTGTTTTTTTATCTCTCTTGACAAAACCCCAGTAACAAATATACAATGTAAACAACAAAAACACATTCCTATATTGTCCATGTCCAAAAATATGTGTCTCAGTTTGCATATTTAGTCTATCATTTCTCTATCCATAGGTGGTGAAACATTCCTCATTACCAGTTCTCTGGTATTGTGATTGGTCATTGTTTTGATTAGAGTTTTTGAGTCTTTCAAAGTTGCTGATGTTTACAATGTTGTTATTATAGTCTAAACTGTTCCAATTCTACTCATTTCACTCTGCATCAGTTCATGCAAATCTTCCCAGGTTTCTCTGAAACCATCCATTTCATCATTTCTCACGACTAAATAGTCTTTCATTACATATGTATACCATAATCTGTTCTGCCATTCTCCAGTTGATGGGCACCCCTCAGTTTCTATCTGGGTGGGGAACCTGCAGCCTCGAGGCCAAATGTGGCCTTCTAGGTCCTTGGCTTCAGCCTTTTGACTGAGTCCAAGTTCTACAGAACAAATCCTTTTATTGAGGTGATTTCTTCTGTGAAGTTTGGATTCAGTCAAAGGGCTGCATTTGAGGACCTAGAGGCTACATGTGGTCTCGAGGCCACAAGTTCCTTCTCCCTCCCCCGTTAGATCTTTGCAACCACAAAGAAGAGCAGCTATACACATTTTTGTACATATAGGTTCTTTTTATCTATCTTTCTTCTCTTTGGGATAGAGACATAATTCCTGGGTCAAAGATTACACACAGTTTTGTAGCTTTGGGGCCAGAATTCCAGATTACTTTCCAGAATGGCCATACCAACTCAGCACCACTAGCAGTGCATAAATGTGCCTGTTTTCCTGCAGTCCTTCCAATATTTGTCATTCTTCTTTTTCATTAACTTCACAAACATGGTGGGTAAGAGATGGAACCTCAGAGTTGCTTTAAATGACATTTCTCTATGAATGATTTGAAGCATTCCCCTCCACCCCTCCACAGGGCTAGTGGTGGCTTGAATTTCTTCCTTTGAGAGCATTTATCAATTGGAGAATATTATTTTTTCCCATATAAATCTCTGAAAGTGAGTAGTAGTCATTAGATCTAACAAATCTTAGGAAGTCTTCCATCATGTCTGTGTCCTGGGAAGACAACTGACCTCTCCACTGTTATTGTGAGGTCAGCGTGACCATGACTGGCATCTTCTTCTCTGACTCTTAATAGATGGTCTCTCTCCTGATGGTTCCTAGAGGTCTATGTCCTGATTCCTTGGGTGCAAGTAGCTGCTTCTTCCTTAGAGGCTCCGGCTTCCTTCTGTGTGGAAAAAGCCTCACATCTTTTACTTGTGGTTCTTTCTTTTCTCTTTCATGTCACATTGTTCCGTTCTCCAAACGCTTTAATTGAGTTAGCATTTTTTCCATTTTCACATCCGTTTTCTTCTTTTTTTTTCTCCTTGAAAATGCATTTTTCTGCTTACATTTACCCCAAATCTCCTTACTTGTATTTGCTATTGGTCCTCCAGGATCAAGGGAAGCAACTGTATTCTCTCTTCCACATGCTGTCCTTTTAAACTTTTGAAGAATACTCTCTTGGCCTCCTGAAGTCTTTTCTTCTTCAAGCTAAACATTACCAAATTCCCTGCCGAGGTCTGTAGTGGCAGAGTTTGCAATCTCCTTGCTAACCTGGCTACCCACCTTTGGCCTCATTTAAAAAAAAAATTAAATACCTAGGTCCCATTCTTGGCTCTGCATCTGCCTTGTATTTTCCTCAGTGTCTCATCTCCCCTAGTTTTGAAGCATGAATTATAACTTCTCATAGCTGTTGTGAAACTTCTCTGAGATTATCCCTGGGCGATAAGGAACCTGGTGGCATAATTCTCTTTATGGGTAGCAGAAATAACAATAACGAGGACGAATAGGATTATAAGTACTCATGCTTATAAACACGTTTACTTTAAGGTTTCTAGAGGGCTTTCAACACAAATCCCCATGTGGTGAGTAGTTAAAATATGGTATACTCATTTTACAGATGCAGAAACCAAGAGGTGACATGAATTTGCCATGGATATACTATAGGTTCTATATAATTAGGTTTTTTCCTCATAATGTTCTCAAAATCTTCCAGAGAAAAGTATTATAAATATAAATATTAAAATAGCCATAAATAGAAAGTCACACATCAAAAATGGTATTGTCATGGACCATTTTAGGCACCAACAAAAAAGTCCATCTTGCTTTGCTTTGATCAGGCTTTCCTATCCTGTTTCATATCTTCTAATAGGGCGCAATAAGGAGATCAGATTGTTTCTGCATAATATGAAGGAATTTCTGCTGTCACAAAGCAGCAAAGTTCTAATGTTTGAAGGCGTATCGGGATATGGAAAAAGCCAGTTAGCTAGTGAACTAGGTTATCTGGCGCAAGCTGAAAAGCACAGGTCAGTGTCCTCAAAACCACCTTGGGAAACCTACAGAAAACAAAATTTATGTGTCCTCTCAGCAACACATCTGTCTTTCTTTTCTACTTCTCTGGTTATTTTTATTGCCTATGAGTGGCCCTTTCTCAACCTGATCTAGTGGCTAAACACCCAGAAGCGTGAGCTGGAGCAGAACACATTTGCAAAATGTAGGCTTTGAAGTCATAACATTTTGGAGCTGGTAAAGAGCTTAGTATGCATCTAGCTCAAACCTGCCCCCACCCCTCACCATTTTGCAGTTAAGGAGACTGAGGCCCAGAAAGGTGAGTGACTCAGCCACTTTCACATCAAGTAGTTGATAGAGCCAGGATTCAAATCTAGATCTCCCATCTCCAAATTTAGTGCCCTTTCCAAAGTCCCATGGCTGCTCTGGTATCCCTCTCTGTGGGGGGAGATGCATTGGGATACTTTACATTCTGAGAAAAGTAAAAGTGGCAGGGACTGGGATTCCCCAAAGCCAGGTCCAACCAGTATTTTGATTAATCAGTCAACAATGAGCTTATTTACCAAGAGCTAAGACGTGATTCCAGGTGCCACAGAAGGGACCCAGAAGGACAAGACTCAGCTTCCATGCCCTAGGAACTTGAAATGGAGCTGGTGAAGAGCGTATGGGCATGAAAGGTTAACCAAAAGACCCTGGATTTCTTCTGGCCAAGCCCTCCCCCTGACAGTTTCTACTGAATATTTATGAGATGAAGGATATGATCAAAGTATGGTCTTAGGAAAATTAATCTGGCAGCATTACCTGCCAGGCATTGAGGGGGAGGTCTGAGAGTGGAAAGAAGCAGGGACATAGATTTCTGAAGCGACTGCAATAGTTGCGCCTCAGTTGTGAGGCAACGAGGGACTGTACTGGGAGGAGAAGGGAGAGGGGAAGCAGGGGGAGATGGGATGAGAAGAGAAAAAAGAGACATGAAGAAGGAAGGTTCATCAAGGTTTGGTCCCTGGATGGATGTTGGAGCCAAAGCAGTTAGAGATGACTCTGAAATCTTCAACCTTGACTTGTTTCTCATATGTGCCCCCCTGTAGCTCACTACCCCAAGTTTAAGGTACATAGTGGATGTGGATCAGTATCCACTCAAAATGAGAGTTCATAAGCCTCCACTGAGGTGTTTCTTTTGCCAGATGACCAGAGGACGTGCTAGTTCAAATGGAATTATATAGCAAATCAACACAAGTGACAAAACTTCCCTCATGTTCATAGAGGATGTGTGTGGATAACCAGTATCAATCAATGAACATTTATTAAGTACTTACTATGTGTCAGACACTGTGCCAAGTGCTGGGGATACAAAAAGAGGCAAAAGGCAATCCCTGCCCACAAGGAGCTCACAGTCGAATAAGGGAGACAACATACACAGACACAGACACAGACACACACACACACACACACACACACACACACACACACAGAACAAGCTATAGAGAGGATAAATAGGAAATAATTAAAAGAGGGAAAACACTGGAATTAAGAGGGCTTAGGGAAGGTTTCCTGTAGAAGGTGGGATTTTAGCAGGGAAGTCAGGGAGGTCAATAGTCAGAGCAGAGAAGAGAGAGAGGATTCCAGGCATGGAGGATAGCCAGATTGAATGCCCAGAGCCGAGGGAGAGAGGGTCTTGTTCACGGAACAGCCAAGAAGCCAATGTCGATGGATCAAAGACTACATATCAGAGAGCAAGGTATAAGAAGATTGGAAAGGCAGGAGAGGGCTAGGTTATGAAGAGCTTTGAATGCCGAACAGAAGATCTGGTATTTGATCTTGGAGGCAACAGGGAGTTTCTTAGAGAGCTGACGTGCTCAGACCTGCATTTGAGGAAAATCATTTTGATGGATGAGTGGAGGACGGACTGAAGTGGGGGGAGACTTGAGGCAGGCAGACCCACCAGCAGCTATTGTAATAATCCAGGCCTGAGGAGAGGAGGGCTTGCACCAGTGAATTGGCCATGTCAGAGGAGAGAAGGGGGTGGATTGGAGAGAGGGTGCAGAGGTGCAATGGACAGAACTTGGCAACAGTGTGGATATGGGGGAGGCGGTTAGAGATGGTAAGGAATCCAGGATGACTCCTAGGTTGTGATCCTGAAGGACTGGGAGGAAGGTGTTGCCCCCTACAGCAACAGAGAAATTGGGAGGAGGAAAGATGAGTTCTGTTTTGGATATATTACATCTCCTGGACATCCAGTTCAAGATGTCTGAAAGGCAGTTGGAGATGCCAGATTGGAGGTCATCAGAGAGATTGGGGCATGATATGAATGATCATGAAGTATGCACAGTGGGGCCCAAGGAGGTCACTAGTACCACAGGTGCTACAAAGCTGCTGACATCCTGTTGATGTCACTAGGCGAGCTGCTTTCTCCATCCATCTGGGTTCCTCTCTGGCTTTCATCTCTCTGTTGAGCTGCTGTTTGCTGGATGCCTTCACTGTGGAAGCTCTCTGCTGCCGTGGATGTCAGAAACTGCTGCTATGGACACCAAATCTGCTAACCCTTGAGCTCTAATAGCCTTTGGGCTCACTTTAACTCATGATACAAATGCCCTGGCAAACTAGCTAGCTACCCAGAGAAGCGCTTAGGCATTTTTAGTTTGTCTTTGAAACTTTTTCTTCAGGGAGACTTCCGCTTCCGGGAGTCAAGATGGCAGAGAAAAAAGGTAGTGGCTCTCACCCTCCCCTGTCAACCTCTGAAAACCCAGAAATTATCACCCCAGAAAAAAACCTGGAAGAGCTGAACCAGAAGAAAGATGGGGTGCAGCAGTGCAGTAGCGCAGGTAGCTAGAGGGATTAACGGGAAAGGCCCCTCTTACCCTGGGGGAAGGGGAGCAGTACAAAACAGGAGTCGCCCAGCCAGCTAGTGGAAAGATCCACTTTAGCACATTTTGGGGGGTTGAAGTTTCATCACCCAAACGCCACATAATTCCTTTGCCAGTCAAACAGAAACAAAAAAAAAATGAAAAAATAGATGAAAAAGTAAAATACCTCATGGGTAAAACAGCTGACCTGGAAAATCGATCCAGGAGGGACAATTTAAAAATTATAGGCCTGAAAGCCATGATGAAAAAAAGGGCCTGGACAATATCCTTCAGGAAATCATAAAAGAAAACTGCCCTGAAGTCCTAGAACCTGAAGGTGAAATAACTATAGAAAGAATCCATCGATCCCTGCCTGAAAGAAACTTTTTCTTCAAATGGGGTTTGAACTCCCAGATTCTATCCCAAAGTCTCCTATCTGACTTTGGGTTAGAAAATAACTGTACCCTGGATCATTACTCTGAGTCACTTCAAGTCATTCTGGGAACCTCACTTGGCAGAATGGCAAAGGAATTATGTGGCATTTGGGTGATGAAACTTCAACCCCCCAAAATGTTTTGTCCTGCCATACAAAACAACAGAGGAATAGGTGAGGATGATGACTTCCAGAATGGTGCTTTTGATCTCGGTCTTACCTGGATTGTGCATTTTCATGCTTGGCTACCATCGGCATCAGCTTCTGCTGGCCTGGGCTCAGAAGGTCATTCTCAAAGGTTGCTTCTTGGAGCATTTATAACTGTGCTGCTTCCAAACCACAGACTCCACTCTGTTTCTGGGTTTGCCATGTGGCTCCCGCTTCTGAACAAAGGAACGAGAGATGAATAAAAGGATGCACCAACATCAGAGCTAAATGTTGGGTAGGACGAATTGATAGTGGGCTCAGACGGCATCCCTTCGTGGAATTATATTAGCTCTGGAAAAGTCACGAGGCCTTTGTCTTATTCAGTGTAACACCATCCACAGTTTTTCATGGTGCTTACATACTAGGATTTGCAATAAATGTTAAAGTATTCAGAGATGATAGCAATGGTGACAATGGCTTCTAGTCAGTTAAGTTTTATGCCTGTGCTTTATGTTTTTTTCACCAGTTAATTATAATATAAGAAAAAAACTGAAAATCATTCCTTTTTTTTTTTTTGGGGTTTTAGTTTTAACTTCAAAATCAGGAGGACTTTACCTGTTTTGATAATCCTTGAGGCACCTAGTCATACTTTAGAAAAGTCCAGTGTTGCAATGTTTTAGCCACTCGTCATAATGCCCTATAGAAATCCAGATTTGGGCATTTTTTATCTGTCATTTTTTTCTATTTTTCTAAACCTCTAGCACTTTGTCAATCATCTTTCCAATGTACTTTATTATGTGTTATGCATCTGTGTCTTTACCAGCCCTCCTCGCAATGGACTATATTTTCCGTGAAGGAAGGGACCGTGTTTTTATCTCAGCTTTGTGTAGTAATACGTGTGTGCCCATATTCCCTTTAGAAGTCATACCCTTTGTCTCTCCCTTATTTTGTTGCTCTCACCTCTGGGGTGTCTTCAGATTTTGAGTGTGGATTCTCAAAATATATAGATACAGGCGACACACATGTCATAGGTGGCATAGTTAGATGTGACTAGAGAAAAGTGCAGCTTGCCTCAGCAATGCTTCTGAGGCCTGCCTTCCCCTTCCCAATAGCATGTTGGCAATTCATTTTCTCTAGTCTCTGAGAAAGACATCAGGCTAGAATTATACCTAACTGCCACCCTTCAGATGTCTCTGGTTTAGAAGTCCAAATCTGGTAGTTTTTAAGGGGGAGGGCAGTCCTTAACTTACACTCGCCAGCTTAGTTCCTACCCACCAAACTCTGGTAACACAAAGGACCACTGACGAACAGTGAATAGCGAGGAAACTCATTTTTTCCAAGCAAATAGTAACCAGAGAATTTATACAGATCAGACTATACCAAAGAATACATAAAAGTGAAGGAATTCTTCAGCGGGAAGCAAGATGTGACTTGTTAACTCACACCAGGACAGAGTGGGCCACTTAGAGGAGATTCATTCTGGGAGTCTCTAGGAATCCAAGCAAGTCCAGAAGTATAATGGGGAAAAAATGAACAGTTCTTCAGTCATTCAAAATATCTTGTATTTCTTCTGGGCAAGTCTTCATTCTGCCAGTTCCTAATGAAGATTTCCGAGAAGATGAATGATATTCATGATTAAAGTGTTGCCTCAGGAAAATTAACCTGGCAGCATTATCTAGTAGGGATCAAGGGGGAGACTCTGAAAGTGGAAACAAGGAGGTACCTAACTTGAGGAAGCCACTGTAATAGCTTGGGTGTGAGGCAACAATTACACAGGTAGAAAACATCACCCTCAGAATTCTCTCCACCAGACAGGAGTCATATTCTTCTCCACATATGCAGCAACATACAAACTGCCCTAGACATTAGTAGAAGCCAGATTACTGTATCTTCCTCAGGACCTAGCACAATGTTCTAGGCATATAGTAAGTGTTTCATAAATGTTGAATTGAATTAAAATTTAGCTTTCAGAGACAGCAAGAAGGCAAAAGTAAGAGGAGAGGGAGAGAGAGAGAAAGAGAGAGAGACACACAGAGAGACACAGAGAGACAGAGAGACAGAGCAAGAGAGAGAGAGATAGAGAGAGAGAGAATATCAAAAAGGGCCATTTCAATTGAGCCACGAAGAAGTCAGTGTTTCCATGACCCCTCTCACCAAAAATTGTAATTTGATCTTTGACTTTCCATACAGGGTCATTGCTATAGGATTGACTAAGGTCAGTATCCATCAGTATTTCCACACCATTCAGTTGCTCATGGCCAGCGTCCTGGGCCTCGATACCTGCAAACATTACAAGGAGAGACAACACAATCTGGAGGAAACAGTCAAGAATTATCTGGATGAAAAGTTGTATTGCATCCTCAATGACATTTTTCATGTTCAGGTAATTAGGCAAATGACAGTTTTGTTTTGTTTTGAAAGAAATGCACATCATGATGTTTAATGATTCCTGCTGGTTCCCTTTTGAATTCGTATCCTTTATTTCACCCTTATTCTTGTTGCTTTCATGCCCACGGTGTCTCCAGAGAGGAGCAAGCCTTCCAGTCCTATCTGGTCCTAAAACCACTTTCTTGGGAAAGCCAGAGGGGAGGGGGTGGGATGGGGAGGATGAGAAATTGCTTCTGTAACAACATTAAAATGGTCCATCTTGACCACTGACTTTTCTTTTTCCCCTTCTCATTCCCTTCCTAGACTTTGATAAAGGGCACAAAATCATTTTATTCTAACAGAGGGGTCACGCCATGGCCTGGATGCATCTTGCCTTGGAATTAATTGCTTTTCCTATATGCATTCCCCTAAATTCAAAACACTAACTGCTTTATTTCTAGTTCCCCTTGACACGGGAGGCTTGCACAACGAGTGCAGCAAAAAAGGAAGACGAAATAGAAGCATTGTTTATGAACATCCTGAAGGAGGTATGTGTTATCTCTGGGTCATCGGCAGGGGAATGGGGAATTGGCAGTCCCCACGTGATAATAGGCAAGAGGCAAAGGGCATCAAGTTAAGTTGACACTAAGCTTGTAGATAAAACTCCTGTGTATTCTGCTCTGGAAGGGGTTGTTTTCCTCCCTGATTTCAAAACCTCGAGCTAGAAATTGATTTGCAATTTAGAGTTGATAGAAAAGATTGCATAAGATTCCAGTGAAGAACTTAGGCTTTCTTTCCTTTCTTCTCTCTCTCTCCATATATATCTCTTCCTTCCTTCCCTCCCTCCCTTTCTTCTTTCCTTACTTCCTTTCCTTTTTTCTTTCTTTCTTTCTTTTTCTTTTTCTTTCTCTTTCTTTCTTTCTTTCCTTTCTTCCCCAACCTGTGATTTCAAAGTAAAAGGGAATGAATAATCTACCAAGGCAGCTCTTTACAATTTCTGAGAACTCTCATTATGAAGAAGTAAAGTTCTTTATAACCTGTCCCCTTTCTACCTTCCTAGTCTTTTTATACCTTACTCTCCTTCCCTATACTCCGAGATCCAATGACACTGGCCTCCTTGTTGTTCATTGTAAAAGACATTCCTTTTAGTACTGAGAGCCAATTAGGGGGTGAGGTGAATAGAGCACTAGACCCACAATCAGGAATATCAGAGTTCAAATCCAGCCTCAGATACTTATTAGCTTTGTGACCCTGGGTAAGTCACTTGACCTCTTTCTGCCTCAGTTTCCTCATCTATAAAATAAGGATAACGATATCACCTACATTCCAGGGTTTTTGTGAGGACCAAATGCCATCATCATTGTCAAATGCTTAGGACAATACCTGGCATATGGTAAGCACCGTATAAATGTTAGCTATCATCATCATTATTATTACTACTGTAATCATTATTTGCTCCTGGGATATCTCAGTGACTTCTTCACTCATGGATACTGGAGAAAAACCATTCTGCAAGGGAAGACACCTTAGGGCCTTCTCTCCTAGGCTGTGTGGCTCCCAGAAACAGGCCTCGGTCCTTCACCTACTTGTTGATTTTCCATTCTACGTGAAAGAAATTGAGTCCTCAGCCTTGGGGATTTGAAAGCTCAGCAGACGGAGGCACAGCAACCCAAGTGGCTCAGTCCCAGTGGTGTTTTACAGCCGGTGCATCGCTGATGCCCAGAAGGGCAAAGAGCAGCCTCTGGCCCCAGAAGCTGAGTTAAGGACTCATCCAACCCCATGCTGCATCATAATAGGAAACTGATGGGGCCAACTTTTCAGGAGGGAATAGCACGCTTACGAAAACTTGCTGCACAGTAGAGAATAAAATATTAAAAACAAATACATAAATATTAAACATGTTCTTCACTGACTATAACATGTTAAAAAATTATATTCAATTAAAAGGATTTTGAAAAAAGCACTAAAAGGTAATTGGAGACTTAATCCCAAAGAATTGGTGAATTAAAGAACAAAGAATATAAATAATAGATAATAAATAATTCCATCAAAGAAAAAATACCACATTTTTTAGGATGCAGCCAAAGCAGGCTTCAGGAGAAAATTTATATCTCTATACTTTCATCAACAAAAGAAAGAAAGGACCAATAATTGGGTATGAAATTTAAAACGCTGGAAAAATAACCAAGAAATCCAACTAAACATCAAAATACAAATACTGAAAATCAAAGAAGAGATTGCTGACAAAATTGAAAGCAAAACAAAAAAAGAATTGATAAATAAAAGTAGCTGATAAAAAATACTAAATAATATAATAGATGAACCATTAAGTAGCCTAGTGCTTAAAAAAGAAGAGTAAATTACCAGTACCAAAAGAAAAAAGACAAATTCATAACAAATGAAGAAGAAACAATGAAAATTATTAGCAACTATTTTCCTCAAATATATACTAATACAACTAACAAGAATTTTTTAAAAATATAAAATGCATAGCTTAACCCAATTTCAGAAAAAGAAATTTAACAAGTTATAAATGAACTCCCAAAGGTTAAAAACAAACAAACAAACCCAAGAAATGATGGATTTACAAGTTCCAACAAATAGTCAAAGAACAATGAATTCCAGTGTTCCATAAGCTCAGGGGCGTGCTGGAGCCAGCTCAGGCCAAGGCCAATTGTTAAATTTTCAGTGTAAGCATTTACTCCTTGAAAATTAGCAAAGGTTACAAATCAAGGCTTGATTTATTGTTTCGTTGATTGTCTAGACTTAAGAAAGTGATGGCGTAAAAGTTAAATCAACTAAGATTAAATTTAAAAGTGTGTTGTGTGTACATTCCCCCCCTCTACTGTTAAATATTTATCAGTTCCCTCCTACATAAATTCTTTGTAAAAACAGGAAAAGCCATCCTATCAGATTCTTTCCTCACCACACAATTATGGTATTGCTATTTAAACCAGAGAGAACAAACAGAAAGAAACCTATAGACCAAGGCACTGAATACAGCAAAATTTTTCAATAAAATATTAGCCAAGTATATTATTAGCCCATACAATATGTATTGAAACTCCAGGTTTGGTTTTTACCACAGATGGAAAGTTGTTTCAATATTAGCAACATTCGAAGCCCAAAGTGACTCAAGAAAGCCCCTCACACAGGAGAGGGCATTCATCTCCACTAATTAGGAGAGAATCCCATGACGAATGGGCTCCAAAATTTGGGTTACATTCACAGGATGGAAAAGGTTGAACTTTGTTATTACTATAACTTGGATATGTATTTTTGAATATGTCAAAAAGTGAAGGGAAAGGAATAGTGTTGACTGAAGCCTATTCCTGATTAAACAAAAAAAAATAAGAACATTCTTCTGGAAGGAGTTGGAAAGGAATGGAGTGTCCTTCATTCTGGGAACAAATACTACTGACACTTACATACAGATCTACTGAATGTATGTATGTATGTCTTCATGAGAATACTACTTTTCAGACAAAATGTTTTGTTCAGAAGGCGTAAGTTGGGGATGAGATATTAACAAATTATTTACTTGACTTGAAAATAAGGTAAAGTCAATAGGAAAAAAGTATCTGCCCATAAAGGAGAGAAAGAGAATGCCTTTTATTGGTATTTGGTTCCCTTTGGCTTGTCATGGTTTTTTTTCTTATGCCATGGATTTGTTTACTTGCTTAGGTTTTTAGAAATTTTATAATTCTTATGCCCCTATCCTTCCCCACCTGGTTTTATAATATATGTTTGTGTATATGTCTATCCTTTACCTGTCCCCACCTCAAGTAATGTTGTTAAAATCAGGGACTGGGTCATTTTCATCTTCATTTTTTATGTCCTAGTGCTTGCAAAAAGGATGCACTTTATAAATGTTTGCTTAATTAAACAGAATGTCATGCAAACTTCCTCTGGAAAATGGCTTTAGTTTAGCCAAAGATAATGGCTTATATCTGTCCAGAACACACTTACCCATTGCCACCTGGTGGCAATTAAAAATATTACAGGGGAGGTTGACAGGAATAGGAAATTCAATTCATGCCAGACTCCAAACCAGAGTAGCAGCTGGTAGTTATCAACTGAGATATCTTGACAGTATGTCAAAGAAAAAATATTAATGCTGTACTCTGCGTTTCAGGTCCAAATCTGCCATTAAAAAGTATTTTAACAATTATTTTAGATCCAAATATTTCTAGCTTAAAGAGAGAAATGTTCAAAATGGCATAGTTCCTCCATGCCTTCAGATCTCTCTCTACCCTAAGACAATCTGAGGTACCACTTACAGGAATCTCGGAGAAAAAAGCCACAATATGAAAGCATGGTTTTGTATTAACATTCCAAAACAATAATCACTAACAATAGTCATTTAATCTTCAACTAGAACTACCCCATTCCTTCTTGGATCATTCTCTTCAAGGACAGAAAGGGATTCTCAATGATCAATATCCTAACCCTTTCTCAATTAAAAATAGAGCACTAATTCTAGGTGGATCTTAGCTCAAAGACTTGCAGGGTTGGTGAAACTAATGATCTTTTTTTCTTTAGTATTTTATTTCCCCCCAGTTACAGGTAAAAACAATTTTAACATTCATTTTTAAAACTTTGAGTTCTAAACTCTCTCCTTTCCTCCCCTCATCCCCCAATTGAGAAGGCAAGCAATTGGATATAGGCTATACATGTGTAGTCATGCAAAACATTTCCGTACTAATCATGTTGTGAAAGAAAACAAACAAAAAAAAAATCAAGAAAAATAAAGTAAAAAAAAAAAAAAGTATGGGAGGCTAATAATCTTAACCAAACAAGGGATACCATTTCTTCAAAGTTTGGTTATCTGCCTTAATCCCAATTTCCTAATCCCTTTTGCTCTTAACCCACTTTATCCAAGTAGATAAGCCTGGAAAGGACTTTAAGACTTCAACAATGTTTCTTAATATTTCTAGAGAAACCAAAAGGGAAGTTTTAAAATATGCTTCTGGAGTAGCTAGTGGATAGAATGATGAGCTTCGATCAGGAAGATCTGAGTTCAAATCCAGCCCCAGAAACTTCCTAGTTGTGTAACCCTGGGCAAGTCACTTAACCCTTATCTGCCTCAGTTCCTTATCTGTAAAATGGGGACACACTGGAGAAAGAAATGGCAAACCACTCCACTATCTTTGCCAAGAAAACCCCATGGACAAAGGGTTATGGGGTCACAAAGAGTCAGTCATGACAAGCACATGACTAGTCATGTGAAGTGCTTACACTGGCTTAGACAGTAAAACCTTTAAAACTAATTGGTGAAAGGATTGTCTATATTAGGAAAAAGTGTGTGTTATCTATTTTAGTGCAATTGTATTAATATTTACTACTGTAACTCAAACTTAGAAAACAAAGTGATATCAAATAGATATCCTTATAAGTGTAAATGTATTGATAAGATAAAAATGGTGTTCAATTAGCACGCCAAGTGTTTACATGTAAACATTTTTAAACAGAAGTTCTTCCTCCCTGTGATTTTGTTTACACTATGAATTTGTACTGTCCAGATGTTCATAAATTTTAAATGAGTAGAAATGGAATTCTTGAGATTTTGTTGTATTTGAGAGGTTTTCTTTAGAACTGATCACTTTTAACTGCAAGCACAACAAATACATGCACATACACACTCTTCCCATATAATCATGAAAATTGAAATCTACACCAATTTGGGTTTTGTCTCCCCTGCCTTGTTCAGACAAGTAAAGAAGAAAAGCTCATTTTCATTATTGATGAAGCCCAGTATATTGACATAACCTCTTGGGAATTCTTGGAGAAGCTGATCCAGAAACTCAATGTGTTCCTTATCATGTCGCTATCTCCTTTCGCCAACACCCCCTGCCAATCTGCTATTGCCATCATGAAGAATCGGAACACTACCTATATCATCATTGGTGAGATAAGTTCAAAAGATATACAGTCCAAGGTCTGTCTTGACCTCAATGTGGCCAGCATCTCCAAGGAGCTGGAAATGTAAGTGACCCCATTTTTACTCTGGGACTTTGGTAACTAACACCTCCAAACAGGTCAGGAAATCCTGAGTGAAAAAAGAGAAAATGGCTATCATCCTCACAGTTGGGCTCTACTCCAAATCATAGTAGTCTAGGAACATAGGAGAACAGATCTGGGAGGGCAAAGTCAAGTGGCCCATCCACCATTGCCTTCTGAAAAGATCAAGAGGCTGATTACTTACTTATCTGGCTGATCTCCAATGTACATTTAAAAATTAGGTATCAAACTATAGCTATGGTCTTCTTTTACTTCCGATCACCCACTGTGATGGTATGAATAATTTGTAGCCTAAAGGGCTCCATCCCTTAGAAACAATTTGCTTTCATTCTCCAACTCCAGAATCCATTGATTCTGGAGAATCCTGTGTGGTATGTAGTGTTATGATAAGGAACTGATTATCATAATAGCTACTGGTCCCTCACCCCTAACCCACCTGAGATATTGCCCACTCTGACTTCTGCTTAGGATTCTTCTGCCTTTGCTTAGTGGCAGAAGACCATAAAAAATATCACTTCCCTTTTCTCCTAACACAAAATGGTAGTCAAGGGTATGTGCTCCCTTCAACTGCAAAGAGGTATCATTATGGACGAGGGTCAGGAGGCAAAGTGGCAAACTCTGGCGCAAATAACACCATCTCTACCGTCTCTGAAGACTACTTGGCTCTTGGTCGTCCTTAAGGATCCAGATTTCTATGAGGGTGGGTTCAGTTTGAGTCGAGGATCTGCAACCAGATCCTCACATTTAATCAGAAGGAATACTCTATAGTGTCTGGGGAGTGAAGCTGCCTCAGAATTCGCTGGGATCTTCTTGCCCAGGTTGATTCAGGGTCAGTCAGACAGGATTCTAGGGGGCTGAGGGTTATGACTAATTGTACCTTCTTATTTTCACTTTGCATTTCTATACAGGGTGTCCCAAGAATCTCAGTCTAGTCTTAAGCTTTCATAATTTCAGTAGTATAAATGCTACAAACTTAGGGAAAAAAAAACATCATTTGAAAGGTTGATTTACATTTAAAAATACTTTAAATATTTAAATTTAAAATACATTTAAAGTATGTCATTAAAATTCAGTGTAGTTATGGTCTTGTGCCATATATACATTGTTTTAGTTGATTTTTAAACTTTGCCAAAACTTTCATTAGGGGTTGCCCAGTGACTGAAAGGATTGTGTTTGAAGGCCTAGCCTCAAGAGCATTCAAAGAATGAGGTTTTGATGCATACGCTTCAGGTTTGACTTGACCCCACAATATAAGTCTAATGGAGCTAGATCAGATGACTAAGGTGGCCAAGACAGAAGACCTCCTCTATAGATCCACCAGTCTGAGGAAGTATCATCCAGAAACTCCTTCACATGCACTGAATAATGACAGGGTACGCCATCTTGTTAAAATAAATTTTAAAATTTATTATTTAAAACTCACAAAACAAGTGTGAAAATAATTAAATAATTGAACTTTCAAATGATTTTGGGGGGATAATTTTATAGCTTTTACTTTTGAGATTTTTAAAACTTAAAATTACACGAAGACTTTTGGGACACTGTGTAATTCTAAAACTGGTAAAGACCTTTGAGAAGCCATGTATCTCTCAGCAGAATTGCACCCAAACAAACAAAAATGATGGAATTCTGTTCCTAGGGTTGAGAAGGGAACTTGGTTGATTGAAAAGGGGATGGCATGGTAGTTACAGCTCCAATACCATTCTTTTTTTAAAGTTAAAAGGGGCTTTCTCTATACCATGAGGTGAAGATGGCACCTTTGCCCTTCTCTATTGCCACATAGTATTAGCACTGCCCCTGGTCCTGCCCCTCCTACCCTGTACTGGAACATATTGGTCAGGCTAGACAGCAGCTTGAGAAGGAGGAAGAAGGCTTTGTTAGGGGTACGGTTTTCCTTAATGTCAATGTGTTGGGGAAAGAGAGAGAGAGAGAAGTCAACCTAGGAGGAAGTAAAGGGAAGGTAGAAGTGGGTGCTCAGTTGATAGAGAGAAGAAAATTGAAAAAGGGGTTGGAAACTAGGGGGAGACAGAGATGGAGGGGCCATATAAAGGGAACAGCAGGAGTAGAAAAGAGAAATGTGATCAAAGAAAGGCCATGGTCCAGGTCAATGGTGTCCAACTCAAAAAGAAACCCTGAGGATCCCTGCAGACCATATGTTGACTTAGAAAGCCACATGTTACCATTATTTATGTTCTTTTGTATATTTATTTATTTTTGTTAAATATTTCCCAGTTGCCCGTGCTGGGGACAATGGCTACCCATTTTGATGTGGCTACAAATAGTACCCTAAAGGTTAAAAATAATATTAAGGGTTGCTTTTCCAGTACTTTTCCAATACTAAAGTCCTTTCCCCATTATCTTGAAATACCATAAGACTTCTCCTTATTTTGTAAGACCGAAAGAATTGTGGGTTTTTTCTTCCTTACCCTGTGTCCTCCTACCCTTCTTATCCTGTCAATCATCTTCCTCATCCTATGTCATAAAATTCTTCCTTAATCTTCAGCCACCATAAAACCCTGAAACTGTCATCATCCTGAACATCTACAGGCTTTCTGTCTATATAAGCCTAGTTCTCCAAATATCAGTACCTTTTCTACTCAGCCCCGTGGCTGTAGTAAAAAGGTCAGTGTGTGTAGCTTTCACGTAATAAAGCTCCCATTGGTTAGCAGAAAGTTGTCTAAATGAATTCTTTCACACCTGAACCGTTCTCCCAAATCCGACCTCAACAGTTTGATACCTCTGGTCCAGGTGATATTATTAAGTTGTGCACCATGCTGCTAGTTGAATGATGGTTTGCTGCTCAATTCATCCTCCTCTGGTCATCATGTCTTTGCTTCACCAGGGTATTCCAAGAAGAGCATTAAAGAAAGAGGGTGGGAGTGAGGAAGAGGAGCAAGGGAGGAGAAAAGATTAAGGGAGAGGAGGGAGGAATTAAAGCCATTTCCCTACAAGTTTTCTGGCGATCAGGAAGCTGTGAGGAAAAATTCCAATTTATACTAACCCCCTCCCATCTCCCCTTTATCACAGAAAATTTTTCGACATAAGTAAATTTCCCATTGCTTCTTTTTACAGGTACCTAGTGGAAGGAAGCTGTGGGATTCCATTTTATTGTGAAGAACTGTTAAAAAATCTTGACCATCATAAGGTACTCACTGTCCATCAATATCAACCAGAAGAAAAGTCCAATGTGAGCTGGCATGCCCTGTTCAGTAAGTCACACACAATTACAGTTTTTTCTCCCTTTATTTTCCCATGTAAGTCTCTTCTCAGAGGGAGTAGAGTATTCTGTGATGTGTGGTATGTTCACGTGGTTGAAGAAATCACCCACCAGTCCTCAGCTAGTCATGCATGCAAATCATATTTCCTTTACTGATTGCATGGAAAAGACCCACTGCAGACTCCAAGGCTGGTTTGAACAGCAATAATTTCTCAGTAGGTAGGGCAAAGCAAGATTGATCCTGGGGAAACAGAATCAAATGATAAGAGAAGCAAAGGACAGGGATAAGAGAGCATAAAAACTGGGGAAGATTAACCAACCTATAGAACCACGTATGGTTCTATATGGGCATATATAGGCAGCTAGGTGGCATAGTTAATAGAAAACTGGGTCTGGAATCAGGAAGACCTGAATTCAAATCTGGCCTCAGACACTTACTAGCTGCGAGACCCTGGGCAAGTCACTTAACCCTGTTTGCCTCAGTTTCCTCACCTGTAAAATGAGCTGGAGAAGGAAATGGCAAACCACTCCAGTATGTTTGCCAAGAAAACCCAAAGGGGTCCTAAAGAGTAGGACACAACTGTAGAATGACTGAACAACAACAAAAGAACCATATATGAAGTTAGTGGCTAGGTTCAGGGGTGAACTCCTGAGGGTCAGTAAACTCCTTGAAGTGTATTCAGAAATAGGTAAAATATTCATGAATGATGGACTATCAGAAATTATACAAGCTAATAGTTTAAGTCTTAGAGGCAGCTAGGCAACAGTGGATAGAATGCTGGGCCTAGTGTCAGGAAGACCTAAGTTCAATTCTGGCCTCTGGCACTTACTAGCTGTGTGACCCTAGGCAAGTCACTTAACCTCTGACTCAGTTTATTTACCTGTAAAATAGAACAGTAATAGCACCTTCCTTCCAGGGTTGTGGTGAGGATCACATGAGATATTTGTAAAGTCCTCAGCATTTAAGGCCTTCTACAAATGTGATCCCAATCTACCTTTCAACCTTTAGTGTGTTTTTTAAAAACAATTGTTCTTTCCATTTACATTATGGTAGTCATCATGTATTATGTTTTCCTGGTTCAGCTTGGTTTAGGTCATATACATTTTCACATGTTTTTTCTGAATTCCTTATATGTGTTTCTTTCAGTTCATTGATACTCCATTACATCCATGTGCCACAATTTGTTCTGCCATTCCCCAGTCAATAAGCAACCATTCTGTTTCCAGTTCTTTGCTATCACAAAATTGGTATATTCTGATGTATACAGGGCCTTTCTTTTTTAGACCTTCTTTTGGTATGTGCCTAGAAGTGAGAACTCTAGGTCAAACAGAATGCATATTTAAGCCAATTTTCAAAAACAATTACAAATTGTTTTCCACAACAGTTGGATGATTTTACAAATACTGGTGTATTAGTTGGCCTGTCTTTCCACAGTCCCTCCAACATTAACCATTTTCCTCCTTCTCCTTTCTTGCCACCTTACCAATCTGCAGAAAACTCTGCCCCAATTTCCTGCTTTCCTGATTAATGACTACCTCCCCTTGGAACAACATTTGAAGATGTACCCCAATGTTGCTTTACCATGTGTGTGCCAAGACTCACTCTCCAGATTCCTCTTCCTCCTCACCTGGAGATTTTGCTCTAGCCATTCCCCCATCTTGTAGTTATTGTATATATTGTTTTTCTGGTTCTTCTTACTTTGTTAGCATTAGCTCCTATGTCTTCCTATGTTTCTTTGAGTTCTTGATATCCTTCATTGAGTGTAATAATATCCCAATACATTCTTATACCATACTCTGCTTAACTATTCACTGACCAGTAGGCAACCACTTTGCTTCTAGTTCTTTACAACCATTTAAAGAGTAGTTATGTGCATTTTGATCTATATGGGACATTTCTTTCTGTTTTCAATCTCCTTGAGGTATATATGCCCAGCAATGGGACCTCTGGGTCATTTTTTAAAAACATAATACTAATTTATTTTCCAAAGTGATCAGACCAATTCACACCAATTCCATCTATTTTCTTATGTTTTTAAAATTATGTGACCTTTTATATTTAGGCCATGTCCATTTGAAACTTATAGTGGTATTAGGTGTAAGTTGCAGACCTAAATTTATTTTTTTGTCAAACTGCTTTCCAGTTTCCCCAGAAGTTCTTGTCAATAGGGAGCCTTTCCCCAAGTGGTTTAAGGTTCTTGAGTTTATTACACCCTAGACCATTGAGTTAAATTGTTTCTGTTTTTTATTATGAGTCTGTTCCATTGACATACTTAAAAATTTTTTAAAATAAGTTTCAAATAGTATTAATGATTGCATTTGTTGAGTGCCTACTATGTGCTTGGTACTGTGCTAAGTGCTGGGGATACAAATACAGAAAGAGAGAGGGAGAGAGAGAAAGTTAGCCCCTGCCCTCAAGAAGCTTGCAATCTAAACTGAAAAACAGTGGAGAGGGTAGCTGGGTAAGTTACCCAACTCTGGAGCATCACAGAAAAGTCAGAGAAGTCCCAGAGTAATGCAGCCAGATGAGAAATGAGGAGATGTCCTGAGCTGAGATCTTTCACTCTCCAGTTACAGAGGCAGAGAGTAGTGATGAGGTAGACTACCAAGGCTAATGAGATTTTACAGGATGATGAGGTTCTCCCAATAATGAGCTTTCTAGGGCATGGGGAAGTTGTTAGAGCAGCCTCACAAGAGGGCAGCCAGGTCGGAAATGAGTCTGAGGTCTGGAAATACTATTCCGCCTATTCCATCTTTTAAAAACTGTTTTCCTTGAGATTCTTGTCCTTTTGTTCCTCCAAAAGAATTATTATTTTATCTAGTCCTGTAACTCCTTGGTGGTCTGATTGATATAGCAATAAATCAAGAGTTTAGATAGTATTTTTGACAGCAGATTTATTGCTATTGAAATAATCAGATTGGTTCTGTATCATCTTTTTTTTTTTAATTTTTCGGTAGTTGAGGTTAAGTGACTTACCCAGGGTCACACAGCTAGTAAGTGTCAAGTGTTTGGTCTGAGACCGGATTTGAACTCAGGTTCTCCTGACTTCAGGGCCAGTGCTCTATCACTGCACCACCTAGCTGCCCCTTCTGTATCATCTTTTAACTGATCCCATTTACAATTAATTGATTTTGTCCTGTAACTGCCTAAGTCACAGTTCTTTGTCTCTGAACTTAGTTCAGAAATTCAGCAGATCTGTAATGAGTTAAGTTTAGAAATCTAATCCTGCTAATCACCGTTCTATTCTTGTATCAAGGAAATCTGTTATGCTTGAGGGGTGCAGGTGGACACCAGGGAGTCTGATTTGGTATCTTTACACGACCAAGCTATGTCTGGGTCAAGGATGTCTGGTTCGTTTTCCAGAGAAGTCTGATCCACTGTCTCTAACCCTGCAGGTGGACTCAAACAATGAGCATTTCTTAGTCACAGGAAGGAAGGAGGGGAGCGTTGCTAGTGCCTCATTCCCAATTTCCAGCCAATCATATTGTCCTCCACACCTCAGCCCTGTAACCGATCACACTGATTTTGCCACTCATGATGTTGAGCTCTTTTAACCAATCCTAACTTGTTCCCCACCTACGAAGTCCTGTTCTTTGTTCTGTACTCCCCAAAACTATAAAAGACAGAATTGCTGAAGAAGCTGAGATCCTGTTTATTGGTAAATTTGTGCTTTACTAATAAATTGATCATGCTCAGAACTTTGTGCCTCAGTCTACCTTAATTCTGTTACACCATATTCATAAGTCCTTATTTCTAACTGCTTCTCTATATAAACCCTCTGCTCTAGCCAAACTTCCTTACTCATTGTCCCTCAAATATCCTTTCTCTATGCCTTTGCGCATGCCATTCTCTCTGCCCAGAGTGCTTTCTCTCATTATACCCAAAGAGCTATAACATTGTGTATGCCTTCTGACCCAGCAATGTCATTATTGGATCTGTTTCCCAAGGTGATCAGGAGGGGTAAGGTGAAGAACCTATATGCTCTAAAATATTTATAGCAGCCTCTTTGTGTTGGCAAAGAACTGGAAATTGAGGGGAAGCCCATCAATTGAGGAATGGCTAAACAAATTATAGTATATGATTGTGATGAAATACTATTGTGCTATAAAAAATGATGAGCAGGTTGATTTTAGAAAACCATGAAAAGATTTGTATAAATAATGAAGAGTTAAATGAGCAGAACCAAGGGAGCACTATATATAGTAACAGCAATATTGTTTGAAGAATAACTGTGAACAACTTAGCTATTATGAGTATTATAAATATTCAAATCAGCTACAAAGGACCCATGAAGGAAGATGCTATTTACCTTTGTCAAAGAAAGAACTGATAAACAAGTATGCATAGTATGGTTTTACATATGTGTGTATAGATATCTATTTATCTATCTATCTCAAATGGTGGCCTTCTCAGTATGGGGTGGGAAGGGAGGGAGACAGTTCAGAACTGAAAATGTAACAAAAAATTAATTTAGTTTTTAAAAAAGAAAAAAAATAGTACAAAAACAAAACCAACAATATGATACTTTTGTATTTGTAATTGCTTATGTACATGTCATCTCTCCAACTAGGCTATGTACTTCTGAATGGCAAGGGCCATATTTTAGACTTCTTGCTGTCCTCCACAGAGCTAAGCACTATACTTTGCACATCATGGCTGCCCCATAAATAACTATGATTATTAGACTGACTGAATGAATGAATCTTGTGGTTTTCATTGCCAGTAAGGATGGTAATCAATGGTTAATTACTACTACAAAGCTTTCCCATTTTGTTACAGATCCAGGTCTAATAATAATACTTGAGTATATCAATATTGCCAATTAAGAATACTTTCTATAATTTAATCTTTCACAGAGAGGATGTATCTGTATACATGTAGACATATACACATAGGTGTATATGTGTATACACGTAATATGTGCATTTATATATACATCTACACATTTGTATGTGCATATACACATAGTTTGGCTTTTAGGAAGATGCATATATGTAAAACATAATAATGCAGTGTAATATAATGTGATACAATATATTATGTAAGTATATATAATCTGTGTGTGTGAGTACACATGAATAAAGCAAGCATGTTTCACCTAACAAGATAGTGTGTTCCTGAAAAAGAAAATTTTGAGTTGGGAAAAATGCTAATGGAATTGGGGATCCTTTTGTAAAATAAATAATTTTCCCCCAATTATTCTTTTTCCATAATTTTGGTTTTCATTTATTGGGTTTACCTAAAGGAAAATCCACTTAGACCAGCAGCATTCCCTCTTCTACCTCCCCTTATGTCTATATAAACCCACAGAAAGTCTTTGTCTGCTGGTTACATGAGAGTGGCCTCAATTCCTCTCAAAACATCAAGATTAATAACAAAAAGGAATGAAATTATGAATTTCCTTCATCTTTTCTCTTTCGGACTCCTCTATCTTCTCTTATTTTTGTTATTTCTCTACAGAAAACTATACTAAACCCCAGATGAACTTAAATCTATTTTCTTCCTCTTCCAATGAGGATAGAATAGAAGTGTGTGACATTGCCTCCGGTGTCAGATTAAAAAATATGTCACCCCCATCAACATTAAAAGGTAAAGAAAAACAAGGCCTTTGCCTTCCTTAGCTTTGATAATCTAACTTCTAAGAAGAAAGAAAAAAATACTAGATCAGATCCTTCTGTTCAGTTTTGGGCATAGCTCATTCTCCATTCTGTTCTGACATACAAGTATGTATGTGTGTGTATGCATATATGTATGTGTGTATGTACATGTGTATATATGTATCTAGCTAGAGATATCCAGCAAACAGTTGGACATTATTATATTAAAACTTGGGTGAGAGGTTTACTGGAGATATAGATTTGAAGATTTGGGTGTTTTCAGCATAAAAGGGCTAGTAGTGGAAGCCAGGGAGATGGATTAATCTCTGGGGAAGATACCACATTGCAAGAAGAGCAGAGAGGCCTGAGGCCTGAATATGAGAGAATTCCCTCAATCATGGGGTGGGAAGAAGAAGAGGAACTAGTGAAAGAGGCAGATGAGTTGCTACAGAAGGTAGAGGAAAAACCATGATAGTGTTCTTTCACAAAAGTTAAGGAGAGAGTTTCAAGAAGGAAAAGATAATTGACAGTGTCAAATATATCACAGAAGTTAAAGAAAATAAGGCCTGAGAAAAGGTTACTGGATTTGGCAAGAACCTCTCTCCACACAAATCCTTCATTTCAGTCAGACCAGCCTCCTTTTTCAGAACTAGTTCTGCCCTGTGTTTCAAATGGAGCCATTTGACTAGCCTTTAAACCTCTGGCTTTTGTTGAATGACCAATAATAGTCTCCAGCCCAAACCTCTATGACTCACTGTTAAGGTTTTGATGTCTTAGAATGAGTGTAAATAGCAATTGTTTTCTGTTCGAGCCACAGGCTTTAAGAGTCTTCCCCACCCAGATTGATATTTTTGTGTGGTAAATTAAGCCATCTTTTGTCTCAATTCTTACTTAGCCCTTAGTCATTGAAATGGGTGTTTCCTCAGACAGACTGAGGCCTGGGAAAGACTTTAATTTAGAAAGACCAAAGTCATCCATTGCATCTTGGACCACTGCCAGTTGTTTTGACTTTTGTCTTGCCACTGGACTCTGATGACTGGAGAGAATGGAGCTGAAGTCTTTGCACAGCTCTGCCTCTCTTAAGTCCAATTCACTTGCAAGTCAATATATCATCCTCATGATGTCACTGGAAAACAAAGGATGAACAGCAATAACCAGCCTCCTGACTCTTCTCCCAACAAATACCCTTCCTTTCCTGCCTTTTCCTTTACTGAAATCTTTCATATCTTCCTTTCCAACAATCCAAATTCTGTTATATCCATTGAAACGCAGCTTCATATAGTGGCCTTGTAACCTAGAAGACCTGGTTTTGAATGCTGACTCAGAAACTTACTATGTGTGTGACCATGCTGAAGTTACTTGAAGTGGCTGATTCTCAGTCTGCTCTTTTCTTGGGTAGCTTGACCAGCTTCAAAATCACTGCTGGGTCTTCCTTACTCTTATGCAAAAATACAAAGAAAAAGAGACCTTAACCTGAGAAGTCTATTCCCTCAGGAATGCAAACATCATTGGAATCCCTGAAAGGGACACATACACACACACAGAGCATATTAAGGAGACCAGTCACCAAAGAAGTTGGGTCGAGGGTTTCCAGGAAGCTTGGTTTCCATAGTAGTTCATTCATAGGTCCACATTTAGAATCTGTCTCCAAGAAATCTTCCAATTGCAATGGTAGAGGGGCTGAGTCAAGATTATCAGTGATACTTTTGAATTCCTTTACTGGGGTTTGGTAGCTAGGTTTTTGAGGGGTGTTACTGGAAGGGCGAAGTGCTGCCCAGTCATTTACAATATCTTCACAGAGATAATTTTTAGTTTCTTTGCTTTGCTACAATGTATGGGCTCCTAGACCCTAGACAGTGCTTCTCTCCTTCTGTTAGCTCAGGACCACAGACAGCAGCTATCTCTCTTCACTAACAACACTGCAGGTATTTGAAGACAGCTACTGTGCCAATCCCCCCCACTAAGTCAACCCACATTTGTATGTACCTTCTTGAGATTCCTTTAGCAGTGATGATAACGACAGCTAACATTTTGATACAGCTCTTGAAGATTTACAAAGAATTTTAAAACATCTCATTTCATTGTCACAACAACCTTCAATCAGTAAACATTTATTAAGCTTATATTAAGTGAACTACTATATACCAAGGAATTATCATAATTCACTCAAATTACTTACTATATAATTTAGCAATAAAAAAGATAAATTTTGTATCCCTAGCACTTAGTACTGTATCTGGCACATAGTAGGTACTTAATAAATGCTTATTGGTAGATTGGTTGAGTAAGTGCCAAGATAAGGCAATGTGCAGCTACAGTGTATCAGACTATAAGCTAGGGAGACAAAAAGAGGCAAGAGACAGCTCCTGCCCTCAAAGAGCTCACAGTCTAATGGAACCTAGTGTCTGAAGCAGGATTTCAACTCAGGTCTTTCTGACTCCAGGTCCAGCACTCTATGCCCTGTAGCACCTGGTAGTTTGTTTCATAACATCCAATGTAGCAACTGATTATACAATCTTGTATTGTCCTAAAGTAAATAAAGCATAAGCTTGTTGAAGGAAGAGCTGTCTTTCACTGCTTTTATATCCTTGTAAGTGATGCAGTAGGTAGAGCGTTAAACTTAGAGTCAGTAGGGCCTAGGTTCAATCATGCCTCAGACATTTATCAGCTGTGGGACTTGGACAATTCATTTAACCTTTTCCAGCCTCAGTTTCTTCATCTGTAAAATGGAGATAATAATAGCACCTCCCCCTCAGGGTTATTGGGAGGATCTAATGAGATAACATGTAAAGTGCTGTATAAATACAGGATATTATTATTATATCTTGGGTGCTGGGCCCAAAGTGGGTTCTAAAAATGTTTCTTAGGAGAAAAGCTTCCCTTCAGAGAACAAGAATGTTATCTCTGACCTACTACATTACCTGATGTGGGCAGGTAACAATCTACATATTCTTTGGCTTTCCATTTGCAGAAATCTCCCTAGTCCAATTAGACAGCATGAGCCTTTCTCAGCAGATGTTGGTGAGGTGTGCTGCCATTATCGGACAGACCTTTACGACAGCACTGCTTTTTGAAATTCTCCCTTGTTGGAACATGAAGATGATGGTTGAAGCCCTGGCAACGCTTGTTCAGTCCAGCATCTTCTATTGCTTCCAGAGCCAAAAAGAGCTTCGACTGGCAACCAAACGAAGGGGTGCCACTGTAGAGGTACATCACCGTTCCCTGGCTTTGAAGGCCTCATCAAGGATTGGTGAGTAGACCCTAAAGTGAAGCCAACTTTCTCCTGGAGTAAAACCACTCTCAATCCTAAAAAGTCCATGTTAAATCAACAGGGAGCTTTTGCCTATGGTCCAGCTAATAAAACTGTTTTGTTCCCTTTAGAAGGTAGAGAAGAAGATCAGACTTTTGTACTAGAGAATGAAGTGACTCAGTGCCACATCTTGAGATTCTGCAAACCCATAATGCAGAAGACAGCCTATGAGCTATGGCTCAAAGATCAGAAAGCAGCCCTGCATGTGAAATGTGCCCGCTTCCTAGAGGAAAGTGCTCACAAGTGTGAGCACTGTGGAAGTGGGGACTTCATCCCCTACCACCATTATGCTGTGGACATTCGGCTGAATACCTTAGACCTGGATACAGTTAAGAAGATGATTCATACCCATGGAATTAAAAGTAAAATAATTTCATTCTTATCTAAAACCAAAATGGGAACTCCAGAGATTGATTCTAGGATGGGATGAAGTCTATAACATTGTGCAACCTTAATCATAGTTGACTACATCTGGCCTGAGGAATATCAGATTTTGTTTTTGTTCAGTCGTTTCTCTCATGTCCAATTCTTCATGACCCTGTTTGGGGTTTTCTTGGCAGAGATACTGGAGTGGTTTGCCATTTCCCTCTCCAGCTCATTTTACAGATGAGGAAACTGAGGCAAACAGGGTTAAGTGACTTGCCCAGGGTCACACAGCTAGTAAGTGTCTGAGGCCAGATTTGAACTCAGGTCCTCCTGACTCCAGGCCTGGCATTCTATCTGCTGTGCCACCTAGCTGCCCCAATATCAGGTTTAGGAGACACTTAAATTTGTTTCTACAGAAGGATGCTAAATTTCTCAAGGGGTGGGCAGTCCTAGAGTTCCACAGCTATGAGGGGTCTTAGAGGTGATCTTGCCCAATCCTTACCTAAAGTTTGAATCTTCTCTACAGCATTAATGATCATTGTCTATATTCTGTTTAAACATCTTTAGGAATAGGCAACTTCTTTTCCTACAAGAAAACCACCCCATTGTCATATAGCATTTTTAAAAAATTTTTTATTTTTAGGCAGTTGGGTTAAAGTGACTTGCCCAGGGTCACACAGCTAGTAAGTGTCAAGTGTTTGGTCTGATGCTGAATTTGAACTCAGGTCCTCCTGACTTCAGGGCCGGTGCTTTATCCACTGTGCCACCTAGCTGCCCCTCATACAGCATTTTTAAAAAAAATCTATCCTTGGATTGAGCCAAATCTGCCTCTGTACAACTGCCATCTCTCGGGCCTACTTCTGCCTTCTGAAGTCACACCAAAAAAGTCTCATCCCTTTTTCATACGACAACCTTTCATATACTTGAATTCTAGGAGAGTACATTGCACACAGTAGGTATTTAAGAAATGTTTCTTGAGTTAAACCGAATACTCCCTGTAAACATATATTTTCCAAGTTAAACATCTCCAGTTCCTTCAGCAAATATAAATTGTCATACTATGAACATATTCAAGCTTATCCCATCCAGAACTGGACACAAGACTCCAGGTTTGGAGTACAATTGGACTTATCACTTTCCTCCCTTTGGACAATATCCTCTTGCTTATACAATCTGAGATTTTATTAACCCCTTTTTAAAGTGAACATGTGTTGGTTTCTAGAGATAACTGTTTTCCTCAGTGGTCATAAACTATCTGTTTAATAATTCATTCTAGAATTTTGCCTAGGATTTGACATCAAATTCATTAAATTGTACTTTGCAGGATCTACCTTCTCCCCCCCCCCCCATTTTGTTTTCTTTTACAAATAGAACCAACTTTTTATTTCTTCTGTCTTTGCATCTGTGCCATTCCCTGTGACTTCTTCAAGACCATCAATCACAGCCATGAATTCTTTCAAGCCACTAGGTTGCAATGCAGCTAAGTAGGGGCTAGAACCCATTCAGAGGAGATGGGTGTTCTCAGCATCCCTTTACCTATCTTTGTTTCCAATTTCTCTTACTGTGTTTGTTCTGCTCTTCCAGATATGATGAACATTGCCCTTGAAAGGAAAGATGAAAGTAGACTATGAGTTTACTTTCACTTTCTCCTTTTCCTCATACCATCTACCAAGAGCAGCAAGTCTTGCCTATTCTTTCTCATCTGGCATCATTTTTAAAGTCCCTTTTGTTTATTTGTGGTGCTTCTTAACCTGGAGCTCATTCTGAATTTTGCACTTATCCTTTAAAAATATGAATGCATTAGTGTTCCTTGCAAAGTCATTTGGGTCACTTTTAGATACTGTCACCTTTTTTTCCTCGCCAGAATCACTGCAATTCTATCATGAAAATTCCTTTCTTAAGAAATCTTTCTTAATCCATTTCCCCTTTTATGCTTCCTGATGAAATATGACCTATTAAAGTCTATAGTACAACACTTGCCATGCCCCAAATCTCCCTTCTTGGACATCACAAACTGGAAGATGACATGGTTACTTTCTCTTAAGATTTCTTCAGTTCAGCAAGGAGTTCCTTCTGATTGGTCACAATTAGATCCAGAGTAGGAATTCATTCAACTTGTTTATTCAGTTCATTTTCCTTAAACTGAAACTGGTCTCTCCAAAATTACTAATCATCTCCTTGTTGTCCAATTCAATCACCTTTTCTCCATCCTTATCCTTCTTGACCTCTTGCGGCCTTTGACACTTGATCACCTTCTCCTCTAGATTTACTCTCCTCTCTAGGTTTTTATGCCACTAATCTTTTGTGGCAATCTGGCTACTCTGTCTCACTGTCCCTGTGCTGGATCTTTATCCATGTTGTGTTCACTAATGGCGACTGTACCCCAGAGCTCTTTTAGACCCTCTTCTCTTTGATCCAAAATAGTTCATAGTTTTCTCTGTTCAATACACTAAAGTTACCTATTCTAGAGCTACAATCCTGAAGGGATTTAATTACTGACACTTTAGCTTCTTCCTTTACCCAAAGCTTCATCATAGGATCATAGATTAAAAACTAAAGGTCATGGAGTAATTTTACAGATGGGGAAACTGAGGCCCAGAAAAGTTGAGTGATTTGCTCAAGGGTACACAGTTAACTGATTGAAGTAGGATTCAAATCCAGGTCTTCCTGACTCCAGGCCTGGTTATCTATCTCCCATACCACACTGCCATCTTTGCAGATCAACTGAGAGTTGTATTAACATTTCTCTGGTTTTCGTTGCCAGTATTTCTTTCTGCAGCCCTGAGATGACAGGGTGACATAATGGAATCTCATATATATATCTCCTGAGGAGCTGAGAGCATTTTGTGGACTCTGTCATAATTATACTATGAAGTAGAGAAGAATTAACAGAATTCCTCTTTTTAAAATGGAAAAATGGAAAATTAATAATTCACCCAAGGTCAAACAGGCAACCAGCAAAAAGATATACAATTTAGATGTGTCATCTCTGCTACTGGGCTCCCTTAAGAATCACAGGAAGGGAGCTAGAAGGGACCTCTCACTTAAAAGAAGAAGAAACAAATCTAAGCTGTGAAAACCTAAACTTTTCTTTTTCCATCCCTCACCCTTATTTAAAGGAGAGGGGAACCCAACATAGAAAAATAAAGGGAAAAATACACGTCATTTTTTTTCTATAAATCCATATGGTTTGATGGGGAAAACATGAGATTGGGAGAAGACTTAGAATCTATGCCTAATTCTGCCACTAACTTAGCCAAGTCACACCGTTGTCTGGGCCTGCTTTTTCACCTAGAAAATGATGGAGTTGGGGCAGCTAGATGGTGCAGTGGATAGAGCTCTGGCCTTGGAGTCAGATGCTTACTAGCTGTGTGACCCTGGGCAAGTCACTTAACCCCAACTGCCTCACCAAAAAGAGAAAAAAAAAATGATGAAGTTGACCTACATTCTCTAAGGCACATTAGAGATATTGTTATTCGGTTCTACTCTGAATTATTTGTAGATTTCACGGCATTCTGAAATCTGGTGAGACAAGCCTACCTTCTGGAGGTAAGCTTTGTCTGACAAATTGGTGCCAAGGGGTTGTCTTGTTATGACCCCATTGCATCTCTCCATTAGCATCTGATCTCACCTTTGTTCAAGGTTATCAGTTCATTATTTTGTCATTGTGAGGCACAGAAGTGAGTCAAGTGACTGATTTGTTCACTTACTTTCTAGGGACAAAAGAGGTCTTCACAAACAAAGAAAGACTTTCAAAGAAATCTGACGTTTTGACAGGCGATCTCAGGTACAGTAATATGATAAAAGATAGATGGATGATAAACCCTCTTAGAGATATCTGAAAGTCAGTATCATCAGTCTTCCATTTTCCAGATGGGAAATTGAGGGAGGCAAGGTAAATTGATCTGATTTGGTCTGATAAAGGCAGAAGTAAAATCCAGAAGAGATTCTGTTATATTATGATGCAGTGTAGTAGGCAAGAGATTTTGATGCTGAAAACATAGGGTGTTTTTTAAGTTGTTATCACTATCTGTTTTTCCTCACCAGCCCTGAAAAAATAGGAGAAAAGATCTTGTATTTCTTCGACATCACTTTAGACAAAATAACGGCAGCTGATGAAATACTCACCCCTATAGAATCTTGTCAGTGTCAGGAGGTACTGGAATCTGTTTTATTGCCTCTTGCCTACCATTTTACAGTTCTAGAAGAAGTGGACAAAGCTTTATATTACTACCTAGAAATTGTAGCTGGTTATATCAGCCTAAATGATAACTATTTGGTAAGTTTTGAGAGTCTCAGACTTTAAAAAAATTATGTTAAAGGAGTGTACAATTTTCAATTTTCTTATAATTACATGATAATGGCACATGCATTCTTTTGGCAGCACAAAAAAAACTAAGCTTGGCCCCTAATTGGAAAAAATGATTAATTAACGCAGGAAGTTACCACATGCCAAGCACTGGTAATACTGATCTGTGAGCCAGTATGCCATTGTGAGCCAACTTCACCCTCAACCTAATTAGCTTAATTACTTCTTATATTATTTTCATTTAACGACGTACAAAGTTGATTTGAGGCCATGTTTTTTTGAGGGCATGCTGCTAATCCCTGGTGCCAAAATTATTATGCATATTCTCTGGAGAACAATACCAGCAGCCACAACACTAGAACCAGTATACACAGTGGTGAAAATATGGCTCTGAGAAAGGGGTCTAAGACTGAGGAAAGAAAGGACCTTTTCCCTTCTCCCTCCTGACAGCACCCTCCCAAGAATTCCCGAGTACCCTCGATAAATTCCTCTGTAGTCTGTGGTTCAATTTGCTTCTGCTGCTTATGGTCCAGTTAGCCACTCACTCACAGCTTCCATGGCCCATGCAGACAGTCCTTTCTAGGATACAGCAGTTATCAGAGACATGGACCAAGCCACTAGAGCTGTACAGTAATGGGGGAAAGTAGAGGTCAGGACCCAGAGGGGGAAGAAGATCAGAGTTGTCTGTTGGTTCTGAAAAGGACCTGAGATTCAAATATAGTCATCAGATAAACACCACTACTGCCATCCAAGTCATTTGGGAGGGACTGCAGCTGCCTGCCTGCCTGCCTGCCTTTCATACACGCCTTTCAGGCTGTAGGTTGCCCATTTTTTTTTTTTTTTTTTGGTTGATAATCCCTTCTCCCGTCTTTTCCTCCTCAAAGTTACCTTTGTCATTGAATTGAATCAGATTTTGTTTGTGTCAAAATATTATGGGAGTGGGTCGATGAGGAAGGAAACAAGATTAAGGGGAAATAAAGAAATTTTCCTGGGCTCCACATTCTCTTGCAAATTCAAATCACTTCCTCTTCCTACTCTTTAAGGGGCTTCTGACAAGATGGGTAAATATTTCTTGGGTTTGGTACCCAACACAGGCAATCACCCAGGACAGTATCTTCAGAGAATACAGGCTAGTGTGAGAACTTGAGGATGATAATGATAATAATAATAATAACGCCAACTAACATTTATATACCACCTACTATGTGCCAGGCACTGTGCTAAGCCCTTTAGGGTTGCTATCTAATTTAATCATCATCACAACCCTGGGGGATAGAGGCTATTATTTTCCTCATTGTACAGATGAGAAAACTGAGATAGAGAGGTTAAGTGACTTGCCCAGGGTCACACAGCTAGTAAGTATTAAGGTCAGATTTGAATTCAGGTCTTCCTGACTCCAGGCCCTGAACTCTATCTACTGAGTCACATTACTGGGAAGAGTTGTGGGGGGTAAGGGGAAAAACACTCTCATTCTGTCTTTATCCAACAATGGATATCCAGTTCCTTTCAAGAATTTGTTGCCTTTTGTGGAAGTAAAAATTCGAAATGAAGATGACCAGACTCACTGTGCTGGGCTCTGCAGCCTGCAGTTGGATGAAATTTGTCCAGCAGGTGTGTAAATCCTATTGAATGTTGCTTTGCAGGCCTCCACTTTCAGTGACTGGAGCTTTGTAGAGACTTGCCACGTCCCCAGAGCCAAGAGCTAAGAGAGTGTTGGAAGCAGGGATGGAAATTGGCAATTGTTGCTTGCTCTTATTTTCTCTAGTTAAATGTAGAGAAAGACCCTCCTGGGAAGCCTGACCTTGCCCGCCTTGATGCCTCCTTATCTTGGTTTCAGGCATACATACATCTGTGTGAAGGAGAGAGATTGTTAAAATCCATGAAGCATGACAAATCTTGGTGCCACACTTTTGAGTCTGCCATCTTTTACACCCTCAAGGGCCAGGTAAGGAGCTACTACAACAGGGTCTGGAAGCTTAGTTCTCCCCTGGAAGGCTGCACACAGAACTTTCTAGTACCTTTTTTCATTCTTTACCACCACATCTTGCATTTCAGAGGCTGCCACCAAAACCAGAAAATTCCCATCACTTCAGCTCATTTGCTGCTATTGTCTTCCCCTAAGCAAGCAAAGAAAACTCAGATTTACACTCTCCTCCCAACTCTCCTCCTCCTCTCCTCCCAATCACTGCAAGTGACTTTTGGCACAATATTTGAAAAAGTTTAACTGATCAATTTGAATTTCAGAAGAAGCCACTGGTTTCTGGTGGGGAGGAGAGTAGAATGTAGGAAGATGATAAAGATGGTGAATTTATAATTAATAATATAATTCATTATTATGGTTATAGCATTTATTTAATGCTTTAAGGTTTGCAAAGTGCTTTACAAATATTATCTCATTTCATCCATCCCACTCCCCTACGTGGTAGGTGCTATTATTATCACTGTTCACAGATAAAGAAATTGAGGGAGACAGAGGTTAAGTGACTTGTCCAGGGTCACAGAGCTAGTAAGTATCTAAGGCTACATTTGAACTCAGGTCTTTCAGACTCTAAGTCCATCATTCTGTCTAGCTTTTTATACACACACACACACACACACACACACACACACACACTCCTGGTAACTTTAAGTTTCTGTCTTTTAGACCCAGAGTTCTTCAGTTTTATTGACCTGTTATGTTTTTATGTCACAAACATTTCCAGGTTATCTCCATTCAGTGAAAGTTGTCTCTATTATCTCCATTCAGTGAGAATTCTCTTGCAATAAAGTAAAACAATTAAGCAAAACTAACAATAAAGTGACCCCAGCTGAAAGTGTATGCCATATTCCACATCTGTGGCACCCCCAGCCTCTCTTTAAGTTTTTTTTAAGTTAACAGAAATCTATTTTCTCTTTCTTTACTTCATTGTGGGAAAAAGAAAAGAAAAACAAATCTCTTACAACAGAAAAGAAAACAAATTCCCTCTCTGGAGGCATATGAAAATATCTGTGTGTCATTCTGTACCCTAAATCCATCACCTCTCTGTCATGGATAGTATGCTTCATCTTTGGTCCTCTGGAATCACAGATGGTCATGGTATTGATCGTAGTTTTTATAGCTTTCAAAGTTGTTTGTCTTTACAATATAATTTTTATTGTTTAAATTGTTTTTCCTTTTCCTCCCTTCCTTGGTCGGTTAAATACTTAGCCTAGTTGGGATAGAGAAAAAAAAAGGTAATGGAGAGGATTTCTCAAATTAGGAGATTAAATCATACTGGATACATAATGGGGTGAAGAGGAATTCAATTCCATATATAATAAGCACCTATTCCAAGCAAGTCACTATTACAATTAATTATTTGAAATAAAATGGAAACTGAGAAGCTTGGGACAGCGCCTCCTGTGTCCCAGGAGTAGATCTCAACTTTGAAATTCATGAAATAGGCTGGAAAAAGAGCAAAAACCAAAATGACAAAAAAAGCTCTGACCACAGAAAGCTACTATAGCCACAAGGAAGATTCTACCCATCTCCTCCTGAAAGAGATCCCAAAGTGAAAACCAAAAGTAATATAGCCAAATTCTAGAACTCTTAGGTCAAGGAGAAAATACTGCAAGCAGCCAGAAAGAATTTAACCAACAAGGAGTCACAGTCAGGATTACACAGGATTTAGCAGCTTCTACATGAAAGGATCAGAGGGCTTGGAATATGATATTCTGGAAAATACAGAACCTTGGATTACAACCAAGAATTAACTGCCCAGAAAAACTGAGCATACTCTTTCAGGAGGAAAAAAAATGGATATTCAGTGAAATAGGGGGCTTTCAAACTTTCCTGATGGAAAGACGAGAGTTAAATAGAAAATCTGATTTTCAAATACAAGACTCAAGAGAAGTATAAAAAGGTAAACAGGAAAGAAAAATTATAAGGGATTCAATCAATAAGGTTAAACTGTTTACATCTCTATATGGGAAGATGATACTTGTAACCTTTAAGAACTGTATCTCTATTAGGGCAGTTAGAAGGAGTATACATAAACAGAGGGTGCAAGTATAAGTTGACTTTGATGAGATGATATAAAAAATATTAAGGGGTGAAAAGAGGATTGTACTGGGAGAAGAGTGAAGGGACAGGACCTATATTTACAGCAGCTCTTCTTATGGTGGCAAAGAATTGGAAATTGAGGGGATGCTCATCAATTGAGGAATGGCTGAACAAGTTGTAGTATATTAATATTAATGGAATATTATTGTGCTATAAGAAATAATGAGCAGGAGGATTTCAGAAAAACCTGGAAAGACTTACATGAACTGATGCTGAGTGAAGTGAGCAGAACCAGGAGAACATCATACACAGTCATGGTAATACTGTGCAATGATCAACTATGATTGACTTAGTTCTTCTCAGCAATACAATGATCCAAGACAATTCCAAAAGATTCATGATGGAAACTGCTATCCACATCCAGAGAAATAACTGATGGAGTCTGAATGCAGATCAAAGAACACTGTTTTCATTTTCTTTATGTTTTTGGTGGTTTTTTTTCCCTTTTGTTCTGTTTCTTTTTTTACAAAATGACTAATATGGAAATATGTTTTACATGATTGCACGTATATAACCATATCAAATTGCTTACTATCTTAGGGAGGTGGGAAGAGAGGGAGGGAGGGAGAAAATCTGAAACTCAAAATTTTATAAAAAATGAATGTTAAACATTGTCTTTATATGTAATTGGAAAAAATAAAATATATTTTTTAAAATTATGTGATCCTCACAACAATCCTGGGAGGTGGGTACTATTACTACTATTCTCCTTCAGATTAGGAAACTGGGGTAAACAGAGGTGAGGTAACTTGCTTAAGGTCACACAGCTAATACATTTCTGAGACTGGATTTTCACTCAGATCTTACTGGTCCGTGCATTTTCCAGCATATTGTTTTAATTCTCTACCCCTGCTGTCCAACACTGAGTGCAAGGAGTTCTGGGATAGCAAGATCCAAGATACCATGATCTGCGCTGGAGCCAGTGGGGTTTCTTCCTGCATGACCCTGGTCACCCTGGTCTGCCTGAAGAATGATCTGCCTGGCTTGGGTGCTATTGTCTCCTGGGGAAGTAGTACCTGTTCTACCACCAGCCCTGCTGTATATGCCCAAGTCATAAAGTTCATCCCTTGGATTGAGGAAACCCTGGCCAACAACTGAACTGCTCAGGGCAGAAGAAAACATGTCTTCTTGTAACTCTTCCCTTCCCCTACCTCCAATAAATGTGCCTGTGTAGGATCAAAAAAAAAATAGATGAAATAGAATTTTCTATAGCAAATGTGATTTGTATTAAGTTCTCATTTACCACAATGTTCCTAATAAGAAAATGTATCTCACTGTAAATGAGACCACATAATGATTAAGTTTCATGTTCAAAAAATTAGTGGTAGCACTCTGAGCTCCCCATAACTTTTTCTTTATTTCTTTTGAAATCACTCAAAGAGCCAAATCAATTCCTTTGTATTCTTAATCCAACCTTACCTTTCCCTAAGGCTTTTCAATTGTAACTCTGGGAAGGTCAAAGTTACCGAGGTGGGGAACCAAAAATTTGGATTCAGTCAAAGGGAAGCACTTGAGGACCTACAGCTTGAGGACACAGGTTCCCCACCCCTGGAGGACAGGGCACATAAAAAGGAAAAGCTACTTATTGAAAAAGAGGATGATATACTTAAATAATTCAATGCTATAAATATATTTCTATATCTTTGATATAAAGAATAACTAAGGTTTCTCATATTCTTCTTATCTCAATGAAATCAACACCCCTTTCCCAAAACTCCAAAACCCTTTACTTTCAAATCCTTCATTCACACTCAATTTAAACAAACTACAACTTTCTTTAGCTTTTCTACCCACTCTTATCTCATCGCTACTTGCTCAAACTTTCTTCCTTTCTTTTTATATTCTTCCCAGTGGACTTTGATTAAAGCCCTTCAAAACAGTATCTTTCTTTTTCCTTTTCATATTTTGATCCAACACTTCTCTTACTTTCTTCTACTTTCTTCTACATTCCTCTAGTCTGTATTTCCCAATCATTCCCCATATCATCTATAGAACTTCTCTTCACTCCATTAAATTTTTACCTTACAATTTAACACAAGTTTTTAATACACAAAACCAAATAATTGCCTTTCAGGTACTTAAAAGCTTACAAATGCATGGCCTATTCCAATACCTTTTGATGATTTTGCTAATAGTTACCTAAACAATTAAGTTCTGTTATATCTTCAAAGAAGAAATACAGTGGTAACACAAAATATTTTTCCAAATTAAATTTTATTTACTTTTAAGTTGCTCCCTGATTTAAACAAGCTTTTAGAAAAAAGTTAATAATCCAAAGTTCTTAAGTTCCAGATAAATTTAAACTGCAAAGTACAAACCCATTTTTTCCTTCACTTTAGAACTTTACTAATACTACCTTTCCCCCTTGTACTAAAACAATAAATGGATCACTCTCCAGGGAAAGAGTGATAAGAGGTCTAAGTGCTTTTCCCATGTAACCTTCACAGAATTTTATTGTTTTTTCTTCAAACAAATTCTACAGAGTGGTACCCCAGAACTCACTAAAACATTTCAGCATTTATACAAACATTCAAACCATAATTTGGAAGTTCACAATAGAAAACTTGCATTCAGACACAAATTTACTAGGCCATAAATTTCTGTGGACAGGGGGAGAAAGATTAACTTCCCTCTTAATTTGCGTTGTCTCTTGTCTCTCCCTAACTTGACCAGAGTTAAGAAGGCAAAGAAAGACTTTCTTTCTGAAGACTCAGAAAAATTCCTCAGAAAAAAGTTATTTTTCTTTTGGCTTGATCAAGCCCCAGGAAGAAGTTAATTTGATTTACCAAGACACAAGATACAGACAGTATGATAAGACAGACACATAAAAGCAGTCACTTTTTCTCCTTTTTATCTCTCACTGAAAGTTTTAATCAAAAAGTCCATGACTAAGTCACTGCTTGATATTATCAATAACTGAGAAAGCTCTTTTGAAATTCCACTCTTCTTAAGAATACTTTTACATTATGCCTCTGCTGAGGCAATCTTAAAGGTAGACCTTAGTCACCCCCTTCTAAATGGGAAATTTTCCCTGTTCCCAGGCCAGATTTCCTTAAGTGAATGTCCACTAGCTTACTAGAGCTGGTACCTATGGTATCCTCTTCAAGGGATCACTTACCTCTGAGGAGGTCCATCCGGATATGGTTTGGGAGGATGTAGAGGTTTGGAGATGGGCAGTCTTTCACTAATGAAGTTCATCAGTAGAAACCTTAACAAAGTACCCTAAAGTATTCCTTTGTGAAGGTCCAGCTATCACATGGAGACTCTCAGGCTCAATCCCTTCATGGTCTCCACAACTGTTAAAGTGGGATGGGGGAAGGGGGAAAGAAACTGAGTTCATCCAGGCAATGCATGTGGTTGCAAAATAAACTGGGCCCAAGGCTCTCAACAGCCAAGGACCCAGAAGCTTGGTTTCTCACAGTTAATTTACAATTTTGAAGGAGTGAAAAATATGAAATATCGGATTATAGGAATTGAGACATCTCATTTCTCATTGATGAAGGGAAGTCAGGAGACACTGAGGAATATTCTTGTAGTTGGGGTGATAATGGGGAGAGGGAGTAGTCTTGTGAAATCACTAAAATCAGGTGACTCATATGGAGTTGAAACTTAACTTCACAAAATGGTAGATAAAGGCAAAATGGAATCATTAATGTTATTTTTAATGGATCCACATGTATGCACACATGTAAATACATATGTATATACACACGTGTGTGTGTGTGCATATTCGTGTATCCTTGAAATCACCTGCTACCTGTGTCTTCTCTATTTTCATTTAGAGGAAAGAATTCAGGAAGCTAGCTATCCCTTTCAGCCAGGGGTGGAATACAGAAATGTAATTTTGGAATGCTTGAGTAAACTTTATCAAATTAATATACGAAAAGCACTTTGTAATTCTCACACACAAACACTCTGTGTGTGTGTGTGTGTCTGTGAAAGAGAGAGACAGAGAGAGAGAGGATAGCTAGATAGATGATAAACAGAGGATGATAAATAGGTAGATAAAAGATAGATGTCAGCTATTATTCCTATATACTTACTTTCCTTGCTTTTTTTCTCTCATTGGCACATAGGTCTCCTTCAATGTGGGCCAGATGGCACTCGCTAAGAAAATGATGAGGAAAGCACTGAAGTTACTAAAACGTGTCTTCCCTTACAGTTGCATTTCGGTTCTCCTCCAGACCCATGTTGAGAAAAGCAAACATGCCTTTCATATGAGTCAAAAGGGACAGGACATCTGTCCTCCAGGGTAAGAGACAGAATTAGAATAGGGCTAAGGTATTAGACTAGGGCATGTGAGCTACTCCTAATGGGATGGGGAGTCCCAACAATCTGCTTTTGCAGGGCGTCATCCTTTTGGATGTGTGCTTTCCCCAAAGTAAGTTTCCACACTGGAAAACAGTGGATAGTGTGGCTTTTGGAGTGTCTTCAATGGACTTTCAAGTAGCCTTTGGGGTACAGGAAGGCACAAGAACAGTATTTAAAGATTCAGAGGACCTCTGTATTTGGTCGGATATAGTGTCTTCTGAAGATTCCAAATGGTTAAAAAGAATATTGGCACGGAAAAAAAATGTCATCTGATTATTATCTTTAAAAAGTGACCAAGAGAACATCAGTCACTAATGACATATATGTCTTTTTTCTATCTATATGAAATGTTTAAAAGAATAATCTGCACATATCAAAGATATCCTTGACGAGGGTGTTAGTAGGGAAAGGGGGAGGGAGGGAATAAATATTTATATTGTACTTTCTGTGTACCAGGAACTGTGCTAAGCGCTTTTTACAAATATTATCTCATTTAATCCCCACAACAACCCTGCAAGACAGGTGCTATGATTATCCCCAATTTACAATTGAGGAAACTGAGGCAAGCAGAAGTTAAGCAATTTGTCTGGAGTCACTAAATTAAGAAGTGTTTGAAGCTGAACTTAAACTCAAGTCTTTCTAACTCCAGGCCAGGTGCTCTATCCATTACATCCTAGCTGCCTAACAGAGAATGGGCAGGCTTTTACAAAGGATAATCCACAGTAAGCAACATCACACAATAGACCTAAAGGTATAGAGAACATAAGATTCCACTGGCCTTATTGTTTATTGACTACAAAAATTAGAACCTGTAGAACAAAACACCATTTTAAAGTCCCTCCTCCCAAAAGGTGTCATCAATGCACATGCAAAAATTATACATGATTCATTAATATCAAGTGAAGGATAAAAGCAGAAATGTAGGTTCACCAAAGATGGTTGCCACTGTTAGGGAAGATAGTGTGCCTAGAATCAGATAGTGAAGTCCTTGTGATACTCCTGTTTGCTCAGGATGTTGTTTGGATAGCACCAAGCCTCAGAACCCTCATCCACCAATTTGTGCATCTCACACAGATACTGCAAGTGAAAATAATTTGGGCCCAGAATTAAACAGAGGCTGTAGACTAGGTTGAGTAGACTAGGTTGCTTAAAGAAATTGTAGGGCTCTTTTAATGACCCCAAACTTCTCCCTGAAACAAAGATCCATCTTTTAAACACCAAAATTCTTCCGGTTATGTTGTGTGGATGTGACTTAGAGAACGCTACATTCTCTGAAAAACTGAAGTGAAGGATTGCCCAAAGGCAGCAGAGATCCTCATGGTAGGCATGAGCAGTCTGAAATATATTACAGTTGTAACAAAACATACACTCTCTGAAAGCCAGGGAATTATCACGAGGGGCTGGAATGTCTCTTCTGCCATCTGCCCAAGCCCCCACCAACTGTGTCCCCCCCCCCATTGTTAGGGGATAGTGATTAACTGGGCAGCTAAAGTGGCACAGTAGATTAAGTGCTGGGGCCTGGAGTGAGGTAGACTAATTTTCCTGAGTTTAAATCTGGCTTCACTAGCTGTGTGAACCTGGGTAAATCACTTAACCCTGTTTACCTCAATTTCCTCATATGTAAGATGAGCTAGGAAAGGAAATAGCAAACCACTCCAGTATCTTTGCCAAGAAAACCACAAATGGGTTCCCAAAGAGTTGGACGTGACTAAAAAAACAACTGAACAACAACAGTAGTTAACAGCCCAGTTCTATTTAAACATACAATGACATAGTTACTTCACAAATATAGCAAGAAAAAATATACAAACATTTCCCCCAGTACTTCAGACCTATAATCTCCACTATACCACCTTGGTCTCACAGGCAAAGTGGGCTCAAAACTTGGCTTAGTTTCTATCTAGTGTCAGTCCCACCAAGTTTACATCCAAAGCCAGCATTGTTGTTGGGTGAGTCTTTCTGGACTAGTGTCTTGAAGGTCACTCCTAAAAATCACTCATTGTTTCTTGGGGCATCTATGGTACATTGGCTATAAAACTCAGCCTGTATTGTGACTCCTGGATTTCTGGGGCTCAGGTACCTCACATTCATCATTGGTATCCTTTCCATGTCAAGAAAACATGAAAAAAGTCCCCAGAATATTGGGAAGAACCCCTATGATGAGCTTGAGGAAGAGCATGGACAAGTCTATTGGAGCCAGCTCGAATAGGTTGCAATAGCCAATTATTAAATTTTCGATGTAAGCATTTATGTCTTGGAAATCAGCAAATGCTATAAAATAGGGCTTGGTTTATTATTGTGTTGATCTTCTAGACTTAAGAAAGTGATGAAGAAAATGTGAATAACGCAGAAACTTAAAAGTGTGTTGTATACACTCTTTCCCCCCAGAGAGCTAGTTACTAAAACATTTAGCAATATACCCCTTAGAGGCATCATTAGAGAAAATGCTCACATCTGTGATGAGATAATGGATCCATTAGGGTGTTAGAGTACTGGAATTTTTAACAAAGGATTAGAAAAACTTGTTCATGCTTTTCTCGTGGAAAAGATGAAGAGGGGTGGGCAAAGTGATAATATGGTTAAATGAGGTTGAAACTGAATTGCTAGGATTCCTTCACTCACACACACACACACACACACACACACACACACACACACACACAAAGTCATTAATGGTATGGTGTCAACTTTGGAGGAAATCCCTATTGGAGTACCATAGTGATCTATGCTGGGTCCTATACTTTAAAATACAAACTCATTAGTAAACTTTTACAGAAAAGAATGGTAGAAAATTATGAGCAATATCACTTCATGTTTAACCTTTTTATCAATTAGTGGGGTAGAGACATAAATAGCATGCTTATCAAATTTGCAGATGAAACAAAGCTTGTAAGGAGAGCTAACACGTTGAGTGACACAGTCTGGATCCTCAAAAACCTTGATTAAAATAAAACCATTTTTAGCTCACAGGCAGTACAAAAACAGGCAATGGGCTCCAGCGATAACATGCTGACCACCCCCCCCCCCCGGGCTAGAGCTGAAGATTTGATATTTAATGGGCATAAAAGTGAAGCCTTGAATGTGAGTTCAAAAATCAGCCTCACAAGTATAAAACGGGAGAAACATGGCTATACAGCAGAGTCTGATAAAGATCCACTGTTTTTAGTGGATTGTAACCTCAAGATGAGCCAAGAGCATGTTGTGGAAGCCAAATAAAGTTCATCTTAGACTGCACTGAGAGACAGGCACTGTGTACAGAAGTATGGAGGTACGAAGCCCAGGTATGTTCTGTCCTGGTTAGACCACATCTGGAGTTTTCTATTAAGTTCTGGGAATTGATGTGCTGGAGAGTGCTCAGAAGCTGGCAATCAAGATAGTCCCAAACCTCAAGATCATGCCCTAGAAGCATGCGAGATAGTAACTGGATGTTTAAACTAGAAAAGAGAGGATTTAGAGGGATATAATAGCTATCTTCAGATATCTGAAGAGGATTACAGCGTGGGAGAGAGACTGGGGTCGCCATGTGGATCTCCATGCTTTGGTTTCTTTCCTTTCGGTAAGTTGTTCCCTTCTGGATTATTTTCTGGTGCTTGTTCTAGGTTAGATGTGAAATTGTGGAGTGAGAGCAGAGTGTTTAATACTGGTTAGAGCACTATCAGCAATGCCAGAGAAATAGAAGACAGGGGCCCTTGCCTTTTTTGGGGAACAAGACAGACACATGAATTCCTCTGGGTTCTCATCTTTAGAACAAAGGGAGTCAAGTTGACCTCTCTGGTCTATACCAACTTTAAATCCTATGAACCTAGGAAACAGTTGCTTCAAGTCCAAGAGGAATAATTGGGAGGAAGTCTTTCATGACATCCAGGCTACACATTCCTTAGATAGTTTTCCACAGAATCTTAGAGTGGGAAGTAACTTCAGAGATCATCTTGACTACCCTCACACCTCCTCTTTGAGTTATTCTGTTGTTTTTCTCTATGCCACACTGTATGATTTTGCTTCTCCTCTACCTAATAGGAAGAAAAAATTGGCTCAGCTTCACCAGCAAATCTCTTGCCTCTCCTCATTATGGCAGATCTACAGCTTGGATGATGCTTGCCTTTACAAGTATTTTGCCCACTTAGCTGCCATGATGCAAGTGAATTCTGCACTGGAAACTCAAAACAACTTCCAGGTAGGCTTTCATATACTTATAGAGTCTCAGAATTGCAAGGAATATAAGAGATCATCTAGCCTGTTGCAAATAAATGAATGAAAAATTATGTATTAAGCACCTACTGTATGCCAGGCATGTTACCAGCTACTAGTGATAGTCCCTACCCACAAGCTTACATTCTTGTTTCAAATTTTTTTCAGTTAATATTTACTTTCTCTCCTTCCCACCTTCCTCCCACCCCTCCCCCTAACTGAGAAAGAAAAGAAACAGCACTTTACAACAAAATACACAGTCAAACAAAACAAATTCCCACACTGGCCATGTCCAAAAATGTATGTCTTATTCTGTATATTCAGTCTTACACAGGGGTGGGGGAACCTGTGGCCTCGAGGCCACATGTGACCTTCTAGGTCCTTGGGTGCAGCCTTTTGACTGAGTCCAAGTTTTACAGAACAAATCCTTTTATTAAGGAGATTCAGTCAAAGGGCCTCAGACGGCCACATGTGGCCTTGAGGCTGCGGGTTCCCCATCCCTGGTCTTATCACTTCTCTGTAGGTGTTGGGCAGCAGCATTCTTTATCCATATTCCTCTGGAATCATGGCTGATCATTGCATTGATTAGAGTTCTTAAGTCTTTCAAAGTTATTCATCTTTATATTGTTATTCTACATATATATGTATGTATGTATGTAGGTATATATGTGTGTGTACATATATACACATGTATGTATATATACATATGTATGTATATATGTATATGTGTGTATATGTGTGTGTGTGTGTGTGTGTGTGTGTATATATATATATAAATAATACATAAAATTTTCCTGGTTCTATTCATTTCAGTCTACATCAGTTCGTGTAAGTCTTACTAAGTTTCTCTCAAACCATTTCTTTCATCATTTTCTTATGGCACAATAGTGTTTCATTATATTCTTATGCCATAATTTGTTGGACCATTCTTCAACTGATGGATATCTCCTTAGTTCCAATTATTTTGTTGTTGTTGTTGTTCAGCAGTTTTAGTTATATCCAATTCTTTGTGACCCATTTGGAGTTTTCTTGGCAGAGGTCTGTCATTTCCTTCTCCAGTTTATTTTACAGATGAGGAAACTGAGGCAAATAAGGTTAAGCAACTTGCCCAGGGTGACACAGCTAGTAAGTGTCTGAGGACAGATTTGAACTCAGTAAGATGAGTCTTCCCGACTGCAGGTCAAGCACTGTACTCACTGAGCCACTTAGCTGCCCCTTCAATTCTTTGACACTACAAAAACAGAAGCTATAAATTTCTTTTGAACATATGGGTCTTTTTTCAGGGGTGTGTTGGAGCCAACTTGAGCTGCCTCAAAGATCCAATTGTTAAATTTTCTGTGTGGGTATTTAGATCTCAGAAATAGGTGAATGCTATAAATTAGGGCTTGATTTATTGTTCTGTTAATTATGTAGACTTAAGAAAGTGATTTAGAAAATGTTAATAGATGTAATTTAAAGGTATATTGTACAGAGAGTTGTTAAACATTTATCAGCAGCATGCCCCTGGACCTTTTCCTCTTTCTTTGATCTCTCTGGGGTATAAATCAAGTAATTGTATTACCAGGTCAAATGTACAAACTTTTGAGGCATCATTCCAAACTGCTTTCCATAATGACTCAACCAATTTACAACTCAACCAATACTGCATTAACACATTAATAATACATTAATGTGACTATCTTCCCAAAGACTTTCCAATACTTGCCATTTTCCATTTTTGTCAACTTTAGATCAAAGTCAACGTTGGTGGATGTAAAATGGGACCTCAGGTTATCTTTAATTTGAAATTCCCTAATGATTAGTGATTTGTAGCAAATTGTCATGTGTTCTTAATATCATGGATTTCTTTCCTTGAAAACTGTCTGTTGATATCCTTAGACTATTTAATAATTGGGGAATTGCTCCTATTTTTATATATTTGAATCAGTTCCCTAGACAGTATATTTTGGAAATAGTAACCAAAGTAATGATTAGTAACTTAAATTACTAATGACCTCTTAGTTTCCAAATCCAATAGCCTTTTCTCAGTTCTCATCCTTCTTGCCCTCTCTGCAGCCTTTGACGGTGTGGATCAAGATCTTCTCCTTGATACTCTCTTCTCTCTGGGTTTTCAGGTCACTGCTCTCTCTCCTGGTTCTCATCCTGCCTATCTGACAGCTTCTTCTTGGGAAGTCCCTTAGGCATCTCAAACTCACCACGTCCCAAACTGGACTCCTAATCTCTCCCTGCCAAATCCACCCCTCTCCCAGGCTTCCATTGTACCATAAAGGGCGTCACCATCCCCTAGTCACTCAGGTCCAAAACTTCGGTGCCATCCTTGACTCCTCCTTATCACTCATCCCACAGTCCAATCTGACCTTATCATTTCTACTCCACAACAACTTTCCTAGGCACTCCCTTGTTTCTGCTCATAGAGCCACCACTGTAGTTCAAGTCCTAATCACTTGTCTCCTGAACTATCATGAGAACCTCCTACCCCGAGTCTCTCCCTGCTCTGTGTGTGTGTGTGTATATGTATGTGTGTGTGTGTGTGTGTGTGTGTGTGTGTGTGTGTGTATATAAAATCTCTCCCATTAGAACATAAGCACCTTGAGGGCAGGAACTGTTTTTGCTTTTTCTTTGTATCCCCAGGGCTTAGCACAGTGCCTGACACATAGTAAGCATTTAATAAATAATTGTTGATTGATTGCATATGGGATATCCCATATATATACCCTCTCACATTTACCCTTTCTTTCTCCTTCCTTCCTTCCTTCCTTCCTTCCTTCCTTCCTTTCACTTATGACATTTCAGATCATCATAGCCTACTTGGACTACTCACTGCACAGCCAACTGGCAGGTTACCAGGGATTATGGTTCAAGTATGAAGTCATGGCCTTTGAGAAAATCTTCAATGAGCCCTTAAATAGAGAAACTGTGGAAATAATTGCTTATGTGGCAGAAAAATTGTCTTACATCAAGTACATAATGGGTTACCTAGATCTGTCTATTCAGTTAGGTAAGATTTCCTTTTCATCTCCATCTGACTGGGCAGCAAAGGACCTCCAATTCAAATCAATTCTTGTTTATTAAGGGCCTACTATATGCAAGGTAAGAGAGGGAGCATGGTAGAGTATAGTGATTCTCAAACTATTTGGTCTCAAGGGGAATGGGAAGGGAAAAAGCATTAATTAAGTACCTATTATGTGCCACACACTATGCTAAGCACTTTACAAATATTATCTCATTTGTAAAGTCTCAGGACCCTTTTACACTCTTACAAATCATTGAGGATTCCAAAGAGCTCCCATTTCTGTGGGTCCTATCTATAGAGATTTACCATATTAGAAATTAAAACTGATAATTTTAAGAATTTATCAATTCATTTAAAATAACAATAATAAGCCCATTACCTATTAACATAAATAATATATTTTAATTAGAAATAGCTTTATTTTCCAAAACAAAAAAAGTTTTTAGTGAGACAAGTGGCATTGTTTTACATATCTTTACAAATCTCTTTAATATCTGACTTAAAAGAAGACAGCTGGGTTCTCATGTCTGCTTCTGCATTCAATCTATTGCAATATGTTGTTTTGTTTGAAAGATACAAAGGAAATTCATACTCACACAGATATGGAGTTGAAAAAGGGAAGACAATTTTAATAATAATATTTAATTTAATTATTTAAATAACAGTAATAATTTAATTGATTAATTTAATAGTAACAAAAACATTTTAGTATTATTGTGAAAACAGTTTTGAACTTGAGGATGCCCTGAAAGGGTCTCAGGGGCTCCCAGGAGTCTGCAGATGACAGTTTGAGAATGACTGGATAGAGGGCCAGCCTCAAAGCCAAGAACTGGGTTAAAGTTCTGTTGTTAACATGTACTAACTAGCAGGACAACCCTGGGCAAGTCACTTAACCTCTCAGTGCACAAGCCTTGAAGATTGTAAGTCACAGAGAAAGTGCCAACTTGCATTGGTTGAGGAAGTTCACACACCTGGGAGTTTCCTCCCAAGACCAATGAAATCACAAGTGCAGTCCCTATCATCCCTATCCCTATGTGCAAGGCACTGGGGACAGAAAGACAAAAAAACACCAGAATTTGCATTCTACTGGAGATTTAATTAGAAGGCAAAGAGTGGAGGAAGAGAGATTGAGATTGTTTCTTCTACAGGCTTCCGAGCACATGGGATGTGGCAGTTGATCAAGGATCCCAACAGGCATTATTTCGTCCTTCAAAGACTCACTGTAGCTCTCTTTCTGAAAAACAGGTATTTCTGTGGCAAGTCCCAGGAGAAAATGTTGTATTGTCAGGGTAGGCAAAGTGGGATGTTTCAGCTTAGACTGTGGCAAGTGGTTTTGCACTGCGGGGATGGACTATATTCTTTTCTTGCCCCAGATACCAGAAAATGGTCGAAGTGATGGATTGGATGTGGTCATTTGCTACCATAGAGGAGCATGCCATCAGCCAAGGACTTTTCTATGATATCTGTCTCGACATCCTGCTTTATGGTGGTAAGTCTTGCTTTTGCATTCTGAAGAGGGCAACAAGAGTATGCATCTCAAAAGACTTCCCCCCAGAACTGGCTGGTTCCTGGTTTTGGTGGAGAAGAGATTAGGCTGGGACGGAAGCTATTACCATTCAGTTTCTGGGTGGTAGGATTGACATCAAGAAGTTACAGGAGGGGCAGCTAGATGGAGCAGTGGATAGTGCTCCATCTGGCCTTGGAGTTCAAATCCTGCCTCAGATACAGAACACTCATTCATTAGCTGTGTGACTCTGGGCAAGTCAATGAACCCCAACTGCCCCACAAATAAAAAAAAGAAGTTACAGGAGGGAAAGTGCATGCAAGGCCAGCCTTACCTCAAACACGAGGGACAAAGTTGTAGGGAAGAAGGGGAGCAGCGTCTCTCTGTGTTCTATGGCTTGGGAAAAACCTTGGAGGAAAAAAGAGGTATCGCTAGGAAATCTGCTTAAAAAAAAATCACAACAGGATGTCCATGGCAGACAATATCTTAACCACAGAATCACAAAATAGGAGAGTTCAAATGAGGAGCTTGGAAACCAGTGGGTAGACTTTGAGTCAGGAAGACCTGGGTTGGAATTTCACCCCGGACACTCACTAACTGTAACTGCCCTGATGCAGGGCACATCTTGGAGCCTCAAGCCTGGACTTCAAGTTTCCTCATCTATGAAATGAAGTAGTTGACTCAATGACCTGTAAGGTCCCTTCTGGCTCTAAATCTATGGTTCTAGTCCAACTCCTTTGTTTTACAGCTGAGGAAACAGAGGCATCTAGCAGAGAAGAGACCTAAGGTTAAGCACCCAGGAGAACACACTAAAGCACTGTGCAATATTACCTCTCCCCACACATTGTAATAAGGGCTTCTTAGAAACCAAAGTTAAAATAAAACATTCTAAGGGTGGGAGTTTCAGACATCTGTAGTAGAATGGTTGGTTAAATATCTGTGGTAGAGGGTGCTTTCAGATGCCTCACACCAATGAGACAACAATGGACAATTCCTTTAAGGTTGTCCAGGGCATACCTTAAACCAGAATCCAATCCGGTCACTGAGCTCCCAGGGTGGTCTTACTGGACTGTGTCATGGAGAGGAATTCAAGTGTTGCTACCAGTTAGAGAACAGCGAGAACATGATGGGATAGAAATTTATGCTTTTCTAACTTTGGAGCATAAAGACCTGACTACTCCCTCAGCCCAAGTTTCTGCAGATCCTAGCTCAAGGAAAGAGTAGCAATCAATGGCATGGGACCATCATGTCACATGTCCTACCTCTGGTTTCAAACCATCCTAAAAATTGGATCGAGAACACAACCTCACCTCTCATGAAACTCTCTCATGGATAATTACTAAGCTAAGAAAGAGAACCCCAAGTGAAATGTTCCTTCTCCTGTCCTTCACAGGCTTTATTTATAGGACCTTTGAAGAATGTCTGGAATTCATAAATGACCGAGAAGATAACAAAATCCTCAAATTCCACAGTGGCCTGTTACTGGCTCTTTATTCGGATGTAGCAATCTGGTAACACAAAGCTTATCTATCCATCTCTCTCATTTTTAAACACACAAACATTTATTAATGTCTATTATTTATAAAGCAATATGCTAGGCTATAGCCAAAGATAAATGAAACCCAGTTCCTTCCTTCAAGGAGCTTACAATTTCATGGGATTGATATGAGAGTAATGTGAAGTGTTTTAAGATCCAATGAGAAAGAAATCATTTCCCAATGGAGGAGAACAAGGAAGCCTCAGTCCGGGAGGTGAGGATGGGTGGAATGTCAACAGGTTGAGTCAGAGAAGTAAGAGGTGGCATTACAAGTATAGGAAACTTTATAAGCAAATGTGAGGGGCAGGTGTGAGGGATTGTCTGATGTTGGCTATGTACCATGTGGGGGTTGAGGCAAGATGGGACAGGTGTGAGGGATTGTCTGTTGGCTGTGCCACGTGGGGGTGGGATGGCGAGGAGGAGGGGCTATAGGAAGGTATATGGGGGGGGTAGAGATCAGAGGTCTTGGGCTGGTCGGGCTCCTGTTTGTTTGCTCCTGCTCACTTGCCCCTGCTCTCTTGCTTTCCTGCTTGGTTTGCTGTGATGGTTTCTGAGTAAAGTTTGAGTGTTTGCACCTCCTGATCGGCTCGTCTCTAAGTTTATCCGGGTGGGCTCTGAAGACTGGTATGTGTGACCCTGGCAGCCTGTTGAGAGTGCACGGCGCGGCCGGCACAAGCAAAGGTTCAAAAGCAAGAGAATGAAAGACATATTCAGAGGAAAGATAGTGTTCCAGGTTGACAGGGTGAGATATGGCCAAAGAGGGATGGATTAAATTGAACTGAACTGAGAAGTGGGCTAGAACCAGATTATGGAGGGCCTTGAAGGCCAGGCAAAAGGATGTGGACATCAGTAGGCCACTGAAGGTTTCTGAGCAGTGAAGTAATGAGATTAGATTTGTGCACTATGAAGATTCATCTAGCAGCAACATTCAAGTTGGAATGGAGAGAGGAGAGCTTATAAGCAAGGAGATGTCAGGAAGATACTTCTGTAGTTTAGAGGAAGTATCACCAGGATGGTGGCATTGGGAATAAAAAGAGGGGCCAGAAATGAGAGAGAGGGAAGCTAGAATTGAAAGGCTTTGACAATGAAATGTTTTAGGGGAAGGAGAAATCAAAGATGATCCTGAATTTACAAGCATGAGGTAACTGGGTGATACAATTATGAGAGATGGGAAAATTAGGAAGAGGAGGAGTAGTTTGGGGTGGGGTAGAGAGAGATGTTAAACTCAATATCAGACAGTAATAAGCATTGTCTAGAAGAATCAATGATAACACTGTCAGTCAGTTAGCATTTGTTAACATGCCAGGCACTGTGTTCAGCACCAGGGATACAAAAAAAAAGGCAAAAGACTGACCTTGCTCTCCAGAGCTCACAGTCTAACTGGGGAGACAAGATGCAGATAACCATGTGCAAACAAGATGGAGGATCAACTGGAGGTCATCTCAAAGGGAAGATTGAGAAAGGCTTTATGTTGAAGGTGGGATTTCAGCTGAGACTTGAAGGAAGCCAGCAAAGTTAGGAGGAGGGGATGAGGAGGGAAAGTGTTCCAAGTGTGGAGACAAGCAGCGATAATGCCTGAAGTCGGGAGATGGAACAGCAAAAAAACCAGTGTCACTAGATTGCAGAGTACATGGAGGGGATTAAGTTGGAAGAAGATTGGAAGAATAGGAAGGAGCCAGGTTAGGAAGAGCTTTGAAAGCCAAACAGAGGATTTTATATTTGATCCTGGAGGCAGCAGAGAGCCACTGGAGTTGATTGACTAAGGGAGTGATATAGTCAGATAAACTTTAGGAAGGTTAATTTAACAACTGAGTAGAGAATGGATTGGAGTGGAGATAGACTTGAGGCAGGGACACCATCTAGCAGGTTTCTGCAATAGTCCAATTGTAAAGTGATGAGGGCCTGTACCAGGGTTGTAGTAATGTCATAAAAGGAAAGGAGTGGAGTATACGAGAAATGTTATGAAGGTGTAAACTACAGGAAATGACAACTGATTAGATATTGGGGAGGCAGGGAGCAGTGAGAGAGAGTGAGGAGCCATGGATCATGTCTAGGTTGCAAGCCTGGGTGACTGGAAGGATGGTGGTACCCTTAAAAATAATAGGGAAGTTAGGAAGAGGGGAGAGTTTGGGGGGAAATATAATAAGTTCAATTGGATATGTTAAGTTTAAGATGCCTACAGGACAGCCAGTTTGAGAGGTCTAAAAGGCAGTTGCAGAGGTGAAACTGGAGATTGAGTGGTAAAAGCTAAATGAGTAGATTTTGTGAATCATCTGAATAAAGATGATCATTGAAATCATGAGAGCTGATGAGATCACACATGAAACTGCACTGAAGTAAAAGAGAAGACGAGGGGCCCAAGACAGAATTTCGAGGCACAGTTATCAGGCATGACATGCATAAATATCCTGCAAAAGAGAGAGGAGGAGTCAGAGAAGCAAGAGGAGAATCAGGAGACAGCAGTGTCACAAAAGCATTAGGAAGAAGAGAGTATCAAAGAGAAGAGGATGACTGACAGTGCCAAAGGCTGATTCAAAAAGATGAGGATAGAGAAAAGATAATTAGATTTGACAAGAAAGAGACCACGGATGCTCCAAAGCTGCTGAGATCCTCTGCTGATGTCACTGGGCAAGCTGCTTTCTCCATCCATCTGGAGTCCTCTGCTGCTTTCATCTCTCTATTGAACTGAGCTGCTCTTTGATGGATGCCTTCACTGTGGAAGCCCTTGGCTGCTGTGGACAATTAAGAGACCATTAGTAACTTTGGAGGAGGCGGTTTCAATTTAATGATGAGGTCAGAAGCCAGAAGGCAAAGAGTTAATTAAGAAGAGAGTGAGAGGAGAAGTAGTGGGGACACCTGTTGTAAATGGCCTTCTCAAGGAGTTTAGCCACAAAAGGGAAGAGAGAGATGGGATAATAAGTAGCAGGGGTGGATGGATCAGGTGAGGATATTTTGAGGATACAGGAGACATGGGTGTGTCTGTAGGCAAAATGGAAACAGCAAGTGGATATGGAGTGACTGAATATTAGTGAAAGTAGAGATGATACGACAATCTGCTGGAGAAGATGGGATACATATATATGTATATGTATATAAACATACACATATATACATATACACTTGTGCATGTAGAGGGGTTTGCCTTGGCAAAGAGAAGGGCCACCTCTTCATGTGACACAAGGTTTATGGAGGAGATAGTGGGGAAAGATGCATGAGTGATGTGAGATAAGGAACAGGACAGAAGAGAGAGCTGAGAGAGGCCTCAATTTTTTTTCAGTGAAATGAAGTAAGGTTCTCAGCTGAGAGGATAGGGGAAGAGGGAACTGTGGAACGCTTGAAGATGAAAATGTTTGGAAAAGTCACAATGATGAGTGGAATGGTGCCTCCATTAGGGAGGTGTAAAAGAATTACCTTAATGCAGTGAGGGCCTGGTTGAGATCATATAACATAACTTGGTAGTGGATCCAGTCAGCACAGTTTCATGATTTTCTCCAGGTTTGTTCAGCAGCAAATAAGTACAAGCAAAGGAGCAGATGGTGGGAGCAATGCAAGGCTGGGGTTTGGAAAAGCAAGATTTTCTTTAGGATAAAGGGGCAAGTGATTCAAGAGAAGAGGACAGTGTAGAGTTGAACTGGCTCACCAAGGGGTCAAGGTGGGAAAGGGAAGAGGGTGTAGCCATGCAGGGGTGATGGCCTGGGAGAGATCTGAGGGATGGAAAGATTGGTGGTCACATAAGGAACAACAACAACAGATTTTAGGGTTGAAAGGCAGAGGGAGAAGTGGAATGATAACAGATTATAATTAGATAAAGGAATTTCAGAGTTCATGTGGAACATCTGTAGGTGATGGGAAGAGTATGATCATCTGTGTGTAGCTGTGGCAGGGTAGAGGAGGAAGAGGTCAAGGGAAACGAGTGAATTGAGGAATTAAGAGGTTCGGATGTTTGAGGGAATATCAACATGTATATTGAAGTCTGCTAGTATAAGGTCAGGATTTGGGGAGGAGAGAAAGACTGTGAACCCTAAATTTATTGAGGAAGCAAGGAGATCTATAGACAATAGCTACCAGAATCTTGGTTTGTCAATAAATATAGATTGAATAAACCTCAAAGGGGGAAAGGTTACTGAGTGATTGATAGTTGTAGAGAGAGAAATAATAGTGGGGACCAAGGGGTATTCCATGATCAGCAGTCTTAGTGAATGAAAGTGCCACCAGTGCTGGTAAGAGTGAGAGCCAAGAAACTAGAAAAGGAACCTTAGAAACATTCACTGCCTCCAGGAAGAGATGCTTTTCCTTCTAAAACTGTAACATGTTCAGTTTAGGCAAGAAAGTTGGCTGCTTTGAAAGACCAAGAGATTAAATGAAGGAAAAGTTAACCCAAGATCACATTCACACATTCTGGCTAATCATGAGCCCCGGAGTTTAGAGTCCCCTGGAATGCATCCCTCCAGCAACTGGAATGGAGATGATGTTTTCCTTTTGTCTTCTGGGTGCCCAATTCCCCAATTCACCCCGACTCCTCTTACCACCAGCTATTAAAATATGCTCAGAATCTGCTGCAGCCAGAATTCAAATTTCAAACTGCATTCTCCCACAGTTGGTGAGCCCAGGGTAGCTTCTAGGGGCCCAGTTTTAGGAAGGCGTATTTTTACTAAAGCTGATTCAGAAAAGCAACAGACCTCAAGTGTGATGCTGACCTTACTCCCCTCCCCTCCCCTCCCCTCCCCTCCCTCTGTTGGTGATTTAGGTTTGCTAGACATGAGAAGTGGGAAAATTTTCAAGTATTTTTCAACAAAGCTAAAAAGCTGGTCCAGAGAAGGACTCCCTCAGTCCTTTACTGCTCAGGATTTAGTAAATTCATGGAATGCCAGGTTCTTTGCTTCCAAAAACAAATTCAAGACCAAACGGAGAATGTCCAGGACATTGGAGTTGAACTACTCAAGGTGACCCCTTCCTTGTATTTTGCTGAGTTTGTATTCAGGCCAGTTAATACAACAACAAAGGATACTACTTAGATATACACAGAACATACTACTTAGATATACACAGAACATACTGCTTAGATATGCAGCTATGAGTTATTTTTTCACTGCTCCTGAGAGGGTGGCTACCAATAAGAAAAAGACTGCCTTAAGCTTGGCCATCTCACTAGCAATGTTTGGACAATGCAATTCCAAGGTGAAATATATATTAAAAAAATACTAAATTAGAGTTATCTCCCCTAACCTTGATTCCAACCCTATCAGGTTGTTTTTAGCATAATTTTAAACTAACTGCTCTTCTTTACTTTCTAATTCTGAGGCCCCCCTGGGGCAAAGAGGCCCTGACCCCTTTGCCCTAACATGTATCCCTACCATCCATCCCCAACCAAGGAATTCCCTCTATCCAACTCTCCTTCATCATGACATTTGGAATTACACTTTCTTGTTCTGGTATTTCACTCTGTGGCTACTTGTTGCCTAGAGGCAAGGCACGTTGACCTTAATGTCACAAATTCACCAGAATCTATTACAGTAAAATCACAAATAACCGCCACCCTCACCCCACCCTTAATCAGTTAATCAGATTTCTCCCGATTCCCTTTGTACCTTGTAAGAAATGAGGCAAATGATAGCAAAATCAGGAAATGAGCAAACAAACTTCCAAATTATGCCTGGGAATTAGTACCGCCAATTTAATCTCCTATACTTTCCATATCATCAGTCCAATGATGGCCCGGAAAGGAAAGAATGCTGAACTCAAAGTCATGAGATTGAAGGTCAAATCCCAAGTCTAATCACTTAATTAGCTGTGTAACTATGGTCAAATCACATAATCTTTCTACACCTGTTTCCTCATCTATAAAAATACATCATGGAAGAGCGTGTTGTAAGGAAAGTACCTTGTAGACCTTGACGTAATAAAAAAAAATCTGAATTATTAAGTTCACTGACACCATACTCTAATTACTAAGGGCGCAAAGCAGAGGAATTCATTTCAGACAAATTTCCAAAAATGGTTGAAATCATTAATTGAAATCACCATTCCAGGAATAATCTATTTCAATAATAGCTAGCATTTACATAGTTCTCTAAGATTTGCATATGTTAATCTCATTTGATCCTCACAACCCCCTGAAATAGATGCTGTTATCATTCCCATGAAGAAACAGAGCCTGCAAAAGGTTAAGTGACTTGCCCATGGTCACATAGCTAATAAATATCTAAGGCAGCATTTGAACTCTGGTCTTCCCGACTCCTCCAGCTTTTTATACACTCTGCCACCTACCTGCCTAGAAAAATGTATTTCCAGAAATAATATATTTCAGTACTTAGGATCAGATTTAGAGATAAAAGGAACCTTAGAGAGCATTAAGTCTTACCCCTCATTTTACAGGTGAGGTAACTAGGAGTTTAAATAACTTGTTTAAGGGTGGCATAGGTTGTATGGTAGCAAAACCTGGATTTAACCCAGTTCCTCTGACTAATGCTATTTCTACACTACTACTTTCCAACTTTTTACCACCACAATTTTTTTAAAGGAACAGATTAAGCTGTAACTGGGCACAAGAAACCCTTGCTATTTTTAAAAATTATTTTATTAAACTTTTGGGTTTTTTTTAACCTCCTGTATCTCTCCCTACACATCTCTCCCTCTTTCTACCCTCTCAAGGAGATCCATTTCATAAAACAAAGAATTTTTATTAAATGGGAAAGAAAAGAAATTCATCAAAACAGATCAACACATGAAAACAATCCCACCTCTGCAAAGAAGTGTCTCCTTAAATCTCTCCATTGGGGTCAAGCTTATGCATATATATATATGTGTATATATATATATACATATATTTCATTAAATATTTTCCAATTACATGAAAAAATTTCACACGTATTTTTTTAAAATTTAGTTTCAAATTCTCTCTTTCTCCCATCCCTCCCCCCTCTTTGAGAAGGCAAGCAATTTGATATCAATTATACATGTGAAGTCATGCAAAACATATTTCCATATTAACCATGTTGCAATAGAAAACACCAACAAAATAAAACAATAAAATACAGAAAGTGAAAAAAAACAAGTGTGCTTCAATCTACACTCAGAGTTCTCTCTGGAGGTGGACAGCGTCTTACATCATGGGTCCTTTAGAATTGTCTTGGATCATTGTCTTGCTCAGAGCAGCTAAGTCCTTCACAGTTGATCGTCCTTACAAAACTGCAGTTACTATGTACAACCTTCTCTTGGTTCTGTTCATCTCATATTGCATCAATTCATATAAGTCTTCCCAGATTTTCTGAAACCATCCAGCTCATCATTTCTTATAGCCCAACAGTATTCCATCACATTCATACACTGCAACTTGTTCAGCCATTCCCCAATTGATGGACATCCCCTCAATTTCCAATTCTTTGTCACCACAAAAAGAGCTGCCATAAATATTTTTGTACATATAGGTCCTTTTCCCTTTTCTTTGATCTCTTTGAGATACAGACCTAGTAGTGGTATTGCTGAGTCAAAGGGTATACTTAGTTTTATAGATCATTGGGTCTTTTAGAAACTTTAGTTCCAAATTGTTCTCCAGAATGGTTGACTCAATTCATGACTCTACAGCAGTACATTAGTGTCCCAATTTTTCCACATCCCCTCCAAATTTGCCATTTCCTTTTTTGTCATGTTAGTTAAGCTGATAGGTGTTAGATGGTATCTCAGAGTTGTTTTAATTTACATTTCTCTAATGAGTAGTGATTTAGATAATTTTTTTCCTATGACTATTGATAGCTTTTATTTATTTTTCTGAAAACTACCTGTTCATATGTTTTGACCATTTATCAACTGCAAAATGGCCTATATATTTGGGAAAAGAGGCCTTTATCAGAGAAACTTGCTCTAAAACTTTTTTTTCCAAGTTTCTCGTTTTCCTTTTGATTTTGGCTGCATTGGTTTTGTTTGTTCAGAAGCTGTTTAATTTCATGTCATCAAAATTCTCCATTTTACTTCCTGTAATCCCTCTATCTCATTTGGACATAAACTCTTTCCTCATCCATAGAAAATGACATGTATGTATTTTCCATATTCTCCTATTTACTTATGATATCACTCTTTATGCCTAAATCATTTATCCATTTTGACATTATCTTGGTATATGGTGTAAGAAATTGGTCTATACCTAGTTTCTGCCAACTTGCTTTGCAGTTTTCCCAGAAATTTTTGTTAAAGGTTGAGTTCTTATCCCAAAAGACTGGATCTTTGGGTTTATCTAACATTAGATTACTATGGTCATTTACTACTATATACTATGTACCTAGTCTATTCCATTGCTCTATCACTCTTTTTTTTTTTTTTTTTTGTTAGTGAGGCAATTGGGGTTAAGTGACTTGCCCAGAGTCACACAGCTAGGAAATATTATGTGCCTGAGGCCGGATTTGAACGCAGGTATTCCTGACTCCAGGGCTGGTGCTCTATCCACTGCGCCACCTAGCTGCCCCCATCACTCTATTTCTTAACCAGTACCAGATTGTTTTGATGATTACTGCTTTGTAATATCTAATGAAATGTGGAACTGCTAGGTTACCTTCCTTCACATTTTTTTCACTTATTCCCTTGATATTATTAACCTTTTGTTCTTTCAGATGAAGTTTGTTACTATTTTTTCTAGCTCTATAAAATAATTCTCTAGTAGTCTGATTGGTAGAGCACTAAATAAGTAAATTAACTTAGCTAGAATTGCCATTTTTATTATAATGACTCGATCTACCCATGATCAATTGCTATTTCTCCAGCTGTTTAGATCTGTCTTTATTTGTGTGAGAAGTATTTTGTAATTGTGTTCATCTAATCCCTGGGTTTGTCTTGGCAGGTTGACTCCCAAGTATTTTCTATTGTGTGAAGTTATTTTAAATGGAATTTCTATCTCTTCCTGCTGGGCTTTGCTGATAGTATATAGAAATGCTGATGATTTATGTGGGTATATTTTATATCCTGCAACTTTGCTGAAGTTGTTAATTCTTTCAACTAGTTTTAGAGTTGATTCTCTAGGATTTTCTAAGTATAACATCATATCATCTGCAAAGAGTGACAGTTTTGTTTCCTCATTGCTTATTACAATTCCTTCAATTTCTTCTTCTTCTCTTACTGCTAAAACTAGAATTTCTAGTACAATAATGAATAATAGTGGTGATAATGGGCATCCTTGCTTCACTCCTGATCTTACTGAGGAGTTTATCCCCATTAAAGATAACGCTTGCTCTTGTTTTTAGATACTACTTGTCATTTTAAGTAGAGTCCCATTGATTTCTGTGCTTTCTAGTGTTTTTAAGAGGAATGAGTGTTTTATTTTCTCAAAGGATTTTTCTGCATCTATTGATACAATAATATGATTTTGTTGTTATTGTTATTGATATGGTCCATTATGCTGATAGTTTTCCTAATACTGAATGATCCCTGCATTCCTGGTATAAATCCCACCTGCGTATAGTGTATAATCTTTGTGATATGTTGCTGTAATCTCCTTATTATTTTATTTCAAATTTTTGCATCAGTATTCATTAATGAAATTGGTCTGTCTCTCTCTGTTTTTGCTCTCCCTGGTTTAGGTGTCAAAACCATATTTGTGTCATAAAAGGAATTTGGTAGGACTCCCCTTTTTCAAATAGTCTATATAGTATTCAGATTAATCGTTCCTGAAATGTTTGGTAGAACTTATTTGTGAATCCATCTGGTCCTGGGGATTTTTTCTTAGGGAGCTAATTCAATTTCCTTCTCTATGATAGGGTCATTTAAATACTCTATTTTCTCTTCTGCTAATCTGGGAAGTTTATATTTTTGTAAATATTCATCCATTTCACTTAAATTGTCAGTTTTACTGGCATATAATTGAGCAAAATAACTCCTAATAAATGCTTTAATTTCATCTTCACTGGTGGTACATTCATCTTTTTCATTTTTGATACTAGAAATTTTATTTTCTTTTAAAAAAAATCAAACTAACCAATAGTTTGTCTATTTCATTGTTTTTTTTTTTTTGATAAAACCAACTCCTAGTTTTATTTGTCAAGGTTTTTTTACTTTCAATTTTATTAATCCATCTTTTGATTTTTATTTTGATTTTTAATTGGGAATTTTAAATTTGTTCCTTTTCTAGTTTTTTTTAAATAGCATGTCCAATTCATTGATCTGCTTTCTCTCTTTTATTGATGCATACATATAGAGATATAAATTTTCCCCAAAGTATTTCATCCCACAAAATTTCTGTTGTCTCATTGTTGTCATTCTCTTTAATGAAATTATTGATTGTTTCTATGATTTGTTCTTTGACCCATTCATTCTTTAGGGTTATATTATTTAGTTTCCAATTAGATTTTAATTTATGCTTCCATGGTCCTTTATTAAATGTATTTTTTATTGCATTATGCTCTGAGAAGGGTGCATCTAATATTTCTACTTTTCTGCATTTGGTTGTGAGGTCTTTATGTCCTAATACATGGTCAATTTTTGTGAAGGTGCCATATACAGCTAAGAAAAAGGTATATTCCTTTTTATTCCCATTCACTTTTCTCCAGAGGTCTATCATATCTAATTTTTCTAAGATTTCTATTCATCTTCTTGACTTCTCTCTTATTTATTTTATGGTTAGCTTTATCTAGCTCTAAGAGAGGAAATTTGAGGTCCCCTACTAGTATAGTTTTACTGTCTGTTTCCTCCTGAAATGAACTTTTCCTTTAAGAATCTGGATGCTATGCTATTTGGTGCATATATGTTTAGTATTGATCTTACTTCACTTTCTATGGTTCCTTTTAGCAAAATATAGTTTCCCTGCTTATCCCCTTTAATTAGATCTATTTTTTTCTTCTGTTTTGTCCGAGATGATGATTGCTACCCCTGTCTTTATTACTTCAGCTGAAGTATAATAGATTCTGTTCCAGCTTCTTATCTTAACTCTGTGCATGTCTCTGTTTCAAGTGTGTTTCTTGTAAACAACATATTGTTGGATTCTAATTTCTAATCCATTCTGCTGTCTGCTTCCATTTGATGGGTGAGTTCAACCCATTCACATTCACAGTTGTGATTGCTAACTGTTCATTTCCCTCCATCCTATTTTCTTCTGTTTATCCTTGTCTCTCTCTTTTTATCCTGCCCCTCCTCTCAAGTCTTTTTTTTTTTTGCTTCTAAGCACTCCCTTGTTTTATCTGTCCTCCCTTTCAACACTACCCCCCCATCCTCTTTCCTTCTTACTTTCCTGTTGGATAAGACAGATTTCTATTATCAATTGAGTATGTGTATGTATGTGTAGATGTGTATATATATGTTCCCTTTTTAAAACTAATTTAGATGTGAGTGAGGTTCAAGCATTGCCCACCCTCTCCCCACACCATTTTCCCTTCCAGTGTAAAAGCTTTTCCTTGCACACCTCTTTTATGTGATATAATTTTCCTCATTCTTCCTTTCTCTTCCCCTTTGCCCCAGGGCATCCCTCTTTCTCACCTATTTTTTTTCACATCACCCCAACATAACCAACTGTACCTGTACCTTCTATACCTTCTTTCTACAAAGCCTCCTAATTGCCCTAATAATGATAAAGATCTCAGAAGATACATGTATCATCTTTCCATATAGAAAGGTAAACAGTTTAACATTGTTGAGTCACATATGATTTCTAATGAAATGTTTCACATTTCCTTCTATTTTTTTCCATTCTTTTGAATTTGTTTTTATTGTTTCTTGGTATCCCATGGAGTCATTAGCTTCCACCTTCCCAATTCTAATTTTTAAGAAATTATTTTCTTCAGTGAACTTTTGTAACTCTTTTTCCATTTGTCTAATTCTGTTTTTTAAGGAGTTATTTTCATCAATGAATTTTTGCATCTCTTTTTCCATTAGGCTAATTTTGTTTTAAATGTAGTTTTCTTTGGTAATTTTTTATGTGCCAATTTTACCAAGCTGTTGTCTTTTCATAATTTTCTTCTGTTGCTTTCATTTCTTTATCTAATTTTTCCTCTTATTTGATTTTGGAACTAAAAGGAAGAAGGAAAGGAAACTGAAGAGGATTTTCAAAGTCCATGTGAAAAGGGGGTGATTTTTGCTAGGCTAGTCCTTTGCATTACCACTCCCCTCCCCACCATGACATGGATGATAGGTTGGGTTTTGAGATTAATGGTTTTTTTAAATGACAGAAGATCTATGAATATATCTTAACTTTTAAAGAAAATCTGTCTTTTCAGGCTGTGCTTCCTTTAAGAGTAAGAAATAGAAAGAATGGCATAGAGTTGCAGGCTAGCTCTCTTTAGAGTCATCAAGATAATCAGCTTGATACAAAGGACAGTAGAATCAGTGGGGTTCCTTGAGGTAACAGATAATAGTACTGACATTAATAGCATTTTACAATGTATAATACAGATAGTCATACTGACAACATAGTATTAGCTAACATTCGTATGTAAACACCTTGAGGGAAGGAACTGTGTATGCTTGTAGCATTTAGCACAGTGCCTGGCATATAAGAGATCCCAATTTAACTAAATCATAAGATTCTTGGGGACCAGGACTATTCTTATTCATCTTTATAGCTTCCATGGTACTTAGCATATTATCTTGCACATATATCTATACTAGTTTGGCTTCATTCATTAGTTTTTAAAATTCATCTCAAGGAGGACAAGCACATTCTCAAAGGAAAAGTTGTTTAGTACCACTGACACCCACAGAATAATGGACTGGATGGACTATCGATTTGTTATGATCCCATAAAGCATTTCACAAATATAACTTATCTTCCTCTGAATTTTTTCTGCAGAAACTTTCTTGATATGAGTGAAATAAATACACAAGTCAAACCATCTTTGACTGTGTATGTCATTGTCATTCCACTGATTTAACCTGTGAATAATACAATTTTCTAGGTATAAGATTCTTTTTTCCAAACCAGATATCCACTGTTCTTTCATCAGACTCTGGAGAATTTGGTAGCTCAAAGTTCCACGGGACCTATCTTCCACCCAAGGATCTACCACCTGATGGCTTACGTATGCATACTAATGGGAGATGAGGAGAACTGTAACCTCTTCCTGAGAACAGCTTTACAGATCTGTGCTATCCAAGGAAATGTACTGGAGAAAATTTGGCTAACCATCAGCAAAGTAAATAATGGAATCTGGGAAAGGGAAGTGGGGTTTGTTGACTCTGACCCCAAAGGTAACTTTAGATGCCTCCTGAAGATTTGAACTTCTCTGGGGTAGTTACATCACAGGCTTTAACCGAAGGCTACACTTCTGGAAATAATGATAATCACAATAATAATAAATTGGCATTTATATAGCTCTTTATAGTATACAAGCACTTCAAAAATATTATCTCATTTGATCCTCACAACAACCCTGGGAGGTAGGTGCTTTTATTATCCCCGTTTCATAGCTGAGGAAACTGAAGCTGAGAGAAATTAAATGACTTACCCGGAGCCACAGAGCCAGCAACTGTCTAAGGCCACATCTGAACGCAGGTCTTCCTGACTCAAGGTCCAGTATCCTACCCACTTAATTTTAATTTTAAATGAGAGGCAGCATGACATAGTGAACAGAGAGCTGGCTTTGGAGTCTGGAAGGCTGAATTTAAGTCCTGATTCTGTCTTGTCCTGACTGAGTAACTCTGAGCAAGTCACAATGCCTCTCAATGCCCCTGGCAAGTCGAAGGCTAAGTTTCTAAGCAGGTGCTAATAGTGGGTATTGGTAAAGAAAGTCCTTCCCCAGGAGCTCCCTACACCCATGAAATCGCAGGTCTGTTCAAAAAGTTAAGTAAGTTACATTCTGCTCCCCACTGCTAGATTGCCTCCTCACTCTTGCCAGCTAGATTTCTCTTCTTCAGGGTTTTCCCACTGGGAAGGTCATAGGGGAACAAGGATTAAGACAATTTGCCCCACTGCCATCTTCTCAATTTTCCTTCTTCTTTCCCCCAGGATGTTAACTACAGCAAACTTCAATCCTCCTGACCCTTAGACTGGGGTGGGGATTAGAGGAGGTGGGAGGATGGTGGTACTTTGGAGTCTTACCCTTCTGTGCTCTTGAGAGAAAAGGCTATTATTTCCTTTTGCTCTGTTCATCACATACACATCCTTTTCTGATAAAAATGAAAGGTTCCTCCTCCAGAGGAGAGGATTCTGTGGTCAGATGCTTCTGGAAGCTGAAAAGTCTGGAATCTCTGAACCTTGCCAGGTGGCAAACAATAAGTTGGGGATGGGGGGAAGGTTGAAGTCTATCCATATACTTGTGTTCTTTCATGTTGTCAGGAACTACATGGACATGTCATTACCTTGACAGGCAGATGAGGTCATGGAGAAGGTGATAATACTGTAATAACGAGACAACCTATTTCTTTCATTCAGTTATGGGATAGTAAGATCTTAACAAATGCTTTATGCATCTTCTACATCTATCACCTGTTCTCTATATCATCTATCTTGCATATCTGTCTCTATCTACCTATCTCCCCTGTATGATTCATAGCAAAGATTTACCACCAGAGACTTCACCCAGTCGTGTTCCTGAGATAACTCTACCCTGAATCCTTCATCATACATGTCCATCTGGACTCTGAAACACTAGAAAAATCTGACTGGGCTAACATTTCTATTAGATGCCTGAAAGCTGTCTCCATCCTGATCCCCAAAACCTGGAAAGGGGGGCATGAAGGGACCATCTGGTCCAGCCTATACCTATATCAGGAATCCCCTTTATAACATCATCCCCAAATAGTCTTACAACTACCATCTGGAGACAATCAAAAAGAGATCCCTTCTCCCAATCCTTTCTCTGCTCCACCATCTACCCCATGCTGTTCGCAGAGCACTAAAGTCCTCCTGTGCTCCTCAGGGACATGACAATGGAGTTTTCAGTCTTCCTTGGATTTGAAAAAGCCAAGTTCAATCCCTCTTTCCTTGTTCCCATAATATGGGAATTCTGTCCTTTGTATTCAACTCTTCACCACTCTCAACCCCACTACTGCTTCTCTGTATCCAGTCCCTTTGAAATGCTTTGTAAAATGGACTATTCCAGAGAGGGACAACCCATTTTGTGGAAGGCCATCCAACTCTGGCAAACTAGGAAATGAGCAAGTGAGTCAGCATATGTTTACTTTTAAAGATGTGTGAGCATTTCAGAGGATACAACAGAATAATTATAATAATAATAGCTAACATTTATATATGTTATCTCATTTAATCTTCACCACAATCCTGTGAGGTAGCTGCTCTTATTATGCTGAGTTCAAATCCTGCTTCAGACACTTATTGGCTGTGTGACTCTGGGCAAATCACTTAATCTCAGTTTCCCTCAGTTTCCTCATCTATAAAATTGAGATAAAAATAGCACCTACCTCTTAGGGTAGTTGTGAGGATCCAATGAAATCATATTTTTAAGTGCTTTATAAATGCCTTTTCTTGTTGTTATTGTTGTTTTACAGATGAGGAAACAGAGGCCGGGGTTGTCTTGCCCAGGGTCACACAACTAGTTAGTGTCTGAAGCAGGAGCTCGAACTCAGTTCTTACTGTTTCCAAGTCCAGCATGAATTTAGTGGTCAATCAGTTGTCTGATCAATTCCATTGTTTTGGAAAGCCCAGTAGATCTACATGATATTTCTAAAATAAGGACCCTTAATGAATTTGTCACAGAGAACTCATTCTGAATTTCTTTCCCTTTTCCTAGAAATGGTGGTACTCTGACAAAGTGTCTGAGGAAGATAGCTGGCTTCAAATAGTCTTACGTCTTCCAAGGTGGAGCGAAATAGAATTTGATGAAAACAAAATAAAGGCTGTTGAACAAAACAAATTCCGATTTAAAATCACTATCATGTAGGACTTTTAGCATTTTTATAAGTGACATTGAAGAATTTGGAAAGTAGGTCATTTTCATCATATAAATCATAGACTTATAAAACAGTCATAGTTTATTTGTTCAGGAATGTGAAAAAGATAAGTAGTCACATAAGAAATATTTTTTGTAGTGGCTAATAGTTACGAAGGTGATGATAGTATTGTACCTGTCTGTATCATATGCTTCTAATTGTGGGAGTAATAAAGATTTTGAAATTTAAAAAACATGTGGTGTTAAGCCTAGTGCCTGGAACTGGGGTGGTGGGAAGGGAAAGAAAAAGAGGGATGTGAGAAATATTAGGAAGGCAGATTAATAATAATAATAGCTAACATTCAGGTAGAGTTGTAAGGTTTGAAAAGTGATTTATATTTCATTTGAGATGTACAACTATATCATAGCCCTATGAAATAGCCTGCAATTATTTTTTATATGCCATTATTACAGATGAAGAAACTGAGGCTAAGAGATTAAGGGACTTGCATAGGGTCAGATGTCTGAGGCAGGACTTGAACTCAGGTCTTCTTGACTCCAAACCTGCAGCTCTAGTCAATGCCTGTGTAATGAAGGCTGTAATGTAACTTTCCAGTGTATACATTGGCCTCACTTTAAAAATATTCATTGAATTGAATTAGGAACTAATTTACCAAAATTTTAAAAGGGCACATTTCCCACTTTCCTCGACATCTTGTATTCGTAAGAGAATAAACAGGCACCTTCCGTGTACTTCCTTGGCATTCAAAGCCCTTCATAATGTAGCCCCTTCCTACCTTTCCTGTTGTCTTACACCTTACTAGCCACCATGACCTCTTAGATTCAGTTGACCCTGGCCTCCTGGCTGTTCCATGAACAACACCCTGGTCTCTTGGCTCTGGGCATTCTCTCTGGCTTTCCCCTACACCTGGAATGTTCTCCCTCCTCTCCTTGACTATTGGCTTCTTTTAAGTCCCAACTAAAATCCTACCTTGTACAGGAAGCCTTCCCCAGCTCCCTAATTCCAGTGCCTTCGCTCTACTATTTTCTGTTGTTAACTTGAATTAAAGAGAACTACCAAAATAGCAATAATAAGGGTCTTTAATTGAGAAGCTTGCAATCCAGGTGCATCACACAGCATCAAAGTACAGGACTGCAGAGGGGTAGAAGTGGCAGAGTTAAACAGTGAAGAGGAAATGGCAAGGGGTTGGGTGGGAACACTTGACTTCAACCAGGACGAGTGCTCCAGAGGGGCAGCAACAGGGAGGGTTAAGTTGTTTTGCAAAATAGTCAAAGGCTGAGTACTGCTGCTATCTGATCAGAACAGCAGCTTCAGGAGCTCCAGATACAGCAATGGGGAGTTTCCCAGAAACATCACAAGGCCTGCTCGAAGCATGGGGTCAGTGAGGTCAGATAGCCCCTTCAGATGACTGCATTCACCGCTATTTATCCTGTACTTAGCTTGTTTGTATATATTTGTGTGTTGGCTCCCCCATTAGATTGTAAGCTCCTTGAGGGCAGAGACTGTCTTTTGCCTCCTTTTGTATACCCAGCATTTGGCACAGTGCCTGGCACACAGTAGATGCTTAATAAATGTTGATTGATTACTTAATGAATATTGCATAGTTAATTGCTTAACAACTAAATAGATAAATAAATTGACTGTTTGATTGCCATAAGTTGTTTCCCCCATTAAACTACAAGTTCCTTGAAATCAGGGACTGGTTTTTTGCCTTTCTTTGTATCCTCAGCACTTAGTGTAGTACCTGGCTTAATAAAAGTTTTTTGACTCTAATGTTTTGCCATTAAAACTTGTTTCTAATTTTGTGTAGTTGAATTTTTTTGTACAAATAAGCACGTTTCTTCTTTATCTGTGGTGTTTTGGGTCAAGTAGCAAGTAAGACAAAGGCTGAGGATATTGCTTGCAGTAAATATGGGAAGCAGGGAAGATTTTGCATTGAATATGTCACTCTGTATGTCTGGCATTTAAAGTTCTTCAGAATCTAGCTCTGGGCAGCTAGGTGGTTCAGTGGATAGAGCACTGGGCTCAGTGGGCTTAAAGTCAGGAAGATTCATCTTCATGAGGTCAAATCTGACCTCAAACACTTCCTGTTTGTGATCTGGGCAAGTCACTTAACTTTCTGCCTCAGTTCCTCATCTGTAAAATGAGCTAGAGAAGGAAATGGCAAACCACTCCAGTATCTCTGCTAAGAAAATCCCAAATGGGGTCATGAAGAGTTAGATGTGGCTGAGTAACAACAATAATCTGGCCCCAGCCTATCTTTCCAGGCTAATTGTATATTAGTCCCTTTCACACAAAGCTGATAGACTTCTCATTCTTTACAACATCCCATCTACCATCTTCGTCAGCACTCAATAAACATTAAGCACCTATGATGAAAGTGAGAGCCAGGTGAGCAGCCAGGTTACTGTATACCTGGAATATATACCCCCTCACACTTGCTCTTAGAATTTCCAGTTACCTACACACGAAATGCAAACCACTCTCTCTCAAAAAAAGAGAAGGCAAAGAAACTCAAGGAATGCCTCTTGAAAAAAAAACAAAACAAAACAGTGCCACATTTTCCTTTTAAAAAAAAAAAACCCAACACAGAATGGCTTCATTGTGGAAACTAGTTAGAAGAAAGATCTAGTGAGGCAAAGGGTATCTTTTCCTACGAAAAGAGGGTTGAAGGGATGTCACAATAATAATAGTAGCTAACATTTTCATAGTGTTTACTATGTGCCAGGCACTGTGCTAAGCCCTTTACAATTATCTCTTTTGGTCCTCAAAACAACCCTGGGAGGTAAGTGTTATTATTATCCCCATTTTACAGGTAAGAAAACTGAGGCAAATGGGTTAAATGACTTGTCCAGAGTCATATAGCTGGTAAATGTCTGAGACTAGATTTCAACTCAGGTCTGCCTGACTACAGACACAGAGCTTTATCCAAGCAGTAATGAGGGGTTGTTCATCTTTCATTCTGGAAGAGTACCAATGACATCGGGAGGGTGATGTCTTGACTTGCAAATGAATTGAATTTAAGTGAGGGAGGGCTGTGCAAAGTCACCAGCCTCACGTTTTCCTCCAGAGCCATCTGGGTCCAGTGGCAAGATATAAGTCAGGACGACTGGCTATGGCCCTGATACAGTGGGAGACAAGTCACATCACTTGGTTCTCATTTCCACGTGTTTACTTAAACAGATAAACCTCACCAGTCATCTAGAGACAGTGTGGCCTAGTGAATAGCCCACTGGACATGGATTCAGGAAGAAATGAATTCAGATCCTGCCTCAGACACTTACTAGCTGTGCAACCCTGAGAAAGTCATTTAACTCTCAGCCTCAGTTTCTTCCTCTTTAGAATGGGGAAAATAATAGCATCTATCCCACAGGGTTGGTGCTATTTAAATCTTGTAAGGATTAAATGAGATAATGATTTTAAAGCATAAGCCTTGAAGTGCTAAATAAATGCTATTATATTGTGGTGATGGAAGAAAAATGAGATAATATGTGAAAAGTCTTTGCAAACTTTAAAATGCTATTTAAGTATGAGCTATGATTTTTATCTAGGGATTACTGTAACAATTCATGAAACTTTAAAGAAATTTATTTCATTTGTACCTGCCATTTTTGCCAATTTTTTCTTTATTTTTCTTTTTTATAATGAATTTAATAAGCATCAATAAACAAACATTTCAATATACAAATCAGAACAGAGGAGAACTGTATATGAAACTAACAAAACAAACAGCCCTGAAAAGCTGCGTTCCATTCTTAATTTCCTCCTGTTCTCTCCTATGTGTTTTAAATGTCTTACTGATGCTCTTCTCTTTCATTTTTTTTTATCATATCATTACCTATTAGTCCACCCCCTCCAAGGCACTCCTCTCTACCCTCTCCCCCACCTCGCTACCACTAGGTTAAAGGAATCATGGTTGCAGTTAGAAACAAGAAATTCATTTTCTTGCTGGGTCAAGAATGATGTGTAGCTAGCAACCAATTCCATCTTGGTTGAACATTCATACATCTGCTACTTTGGCCTTTAGTTTTCAACCCATTCTCTCCTTAAGCAGTTTAAGTAAAACACATAAAAAAGCTTAAGAACAAAGACCCTGCGTGAACTTGTGCCTAGATTCTTGCTGTCAGTGGCTACTTCAAGGGTCTTTTAAAAGTAAATCCCCTAATAAAGCCTGAACTGATTGCCCTGATATTGTGTGTCGCTTTCCTTGGAATTCTTGTATCACAAGCAGATACAATAGGGCATTTCGGTATCCTACTCTGAAATAAAAAAATACATTTTTTCTTTTATGAGTCTGTCCCTCTCATTATTCACTCTTCACAATGAGAAAATAACAAACTGAAAAATAAAGATCTCATTACATACACACATAGTCCAGCAAAACAAATTCCAACTTTGGCCCTGTCCACAAATGTACTCTGTGTGTGTGTGTGTGTGTGTGTGTGTGTGTGTGTGTGTGTAATTCTTCACTGCTCTGGAAGGAAGTGAGTACTATGTTTCCTCTTCATTCCTTTGGACTCACAGTTTATCATTTTTGTTGATCAGTGTTCTAAAGTCTTTCAAAATTGCTTTTTTCAGTAAGGTATCATTGTATGAATTGTTCTGATTCTGCTTACTGTGTTCTGCATCCACTCATGGGAACTTTTATAGTTTCCTCTGAAACTGTCCATTTTGTTATTTTTTATGGCACAACAGTATTCCATTAGTTATATGCTCAACATAGAACTATCTTGATAATTTCCCCATCTTCCTTTCACTTACAGAATACCATAAAGTATGTTTTCCTCTCATTTATTGCCCTTTCCTAATCCCAGAACAAGAGGAATCTTAAATCTTTAGTGCTTATAGGGGAGGTTAACAGAGATCTCTAAGCACTCAAAATCCAGAGAGAAGCTGGGATTGATTGGCTAATAATTTTCCAAGCATCCTTCCTCTAAGATATTTGAATTTGATTATTTTTTCTCTATTGGTTTCTGAGAGTCTGTCACAT